GAGAATTTTCCATCTGCTAGTTCATTCCCCAAATGGCCACCACATCAGGGTTGGCCCAGGCCAAAGTTAGGAGCTAAATCTCCCACATGGATGCATGGGCCCAAACACTTGGGATATTTTCTGCTGCTTTCCTGGGAGCATTAGCAGGGAGCTGAATTGGAAGTGGCCCATCTGGAACTAAATGCACATTTATATGGGATGCTGGCACTGCAGGCGGCATCTTAAACCCACTTTGACATCGTGCTGATGCCAAGCTTTATGTTTTTAAAAGGTTACTGTTTGCATTGTGGAGCTTAGAGACAGGCAAGAGAAGAGGCTGGAAGATGAAGTAAGAGGGTTGCAGGGACCATTGTGAAGTTTTTACTCAGTTTTTAGCTCAGTTTACATAATGATGGCTAATGTGAAATGTTTAGGAGATAAAAGCAGTTGAATTTTGCAGTGGGTTAGGTGGGGAGATTGGGGATTGGAAGAGCTTGGGGGTGACTTAGGTTTCTGACTTATGCTTCTAGAAGGATGGCAGTAGCTGCCACTGATTAATAGAGGAAAACTGGAAGAGGTCTATGGGGTGGGCAAAGGAATGGGGCAGGGAGAATCACATGTTCCCTTTATAACATGGAATTTGAGAAGCTTTCAGCACATCCATCAAAAAATCTCAACTGTGCAGGTTTAGAGTTCCTGGGTGAGGGGTGGGCTGGCATCTTCTGTTCATTAAAATCAGGGACAGGATGAAATCACCAAGCCGAAAAGCCAGGAGGGAGAGGAGAGGCTCTGGGCTGAACCCTGAGGAGCTGCAGGTCCAGGGGTTGCCTAAAGAATGATCAGCAAAGGACATCAAGAAGTACTGGAGGATACTAAAAGAGCATGACAGAGGCAGGCCCAGAAAAGAGGGAGTCCCCAAGAGGAAGAGGTGATCAAGACTGTGGGGGTGCTGCTGAGGGATCAGGCTGGATCTGAGCTGAAAGGATACATTGGATGGGGCTGCGAGATGATCATTAGTGACTTTGGCCCTGGCAGCGTCAGGGCGAAGATGGACAAGAGGACAGGTTAATAAGGAGAGTGTGCAATGATGAGGAAAGTGCAGACAGTAGTCTGTAAGTTTCTAGCACAGAGAGGAGAGAGAAAGGCCACCCAGAGTGTAAGAACCAAAGGCACAGAAATACAGCAAGGAAGGACAATTGCTGTGTGTCTTTCTAAAGAATCTGAGGTTCCCAACTCATATCTGGGATAGACCAGCTCTGAACCTCCATCTGCTCAGGACAACATGCAAGAAAGCTCAGTACAAAGCATTCTGGTAGCTCAAGGGTGCCCGTTGCCAGCCCCTGACTCTGGAGTATGAGGGCCGGAGACATATTTTTTGAATTGTTCTAAATCGGGTCCAGTGCAGTTGTATAGTGGCTGAAGTCCTCGCCTTGCATGATGTGCTAGGTTCCCATATGGGCTCCAGTTTGTGTCCTGGGTGCTTCACTTCCCTATCAACTCCCTGCTTGTAGCCTGGGAAAGCAGTGTAGGACAGTTCAAAGCCTTGAGACCCTACACCTACATGGGGGACCCAGAAGTTCTTGGCTCCTGGCTCCTGGCTTTGGATTAGGTCAGCTCTGGCCATTGTGGTCACATGGAGAGTAAGCCACCAGATAGGAGATTTTTCTCTCTGTCTCTCCTTCTCTCTGTAAATCTTTCAAATAAATAAATAAATATTTAAAAATTATTCTAAATTCATGTGTAGTTTTTTTAATAATCTTCATTTCTCACATTAAGATTTGTTTAATAGCTGGAAAGGCAGCATCACAGAGAGATCTTCCATCTGCTGATTCACTCACCAAAAGGGTACAATGGCCCAGGACTGAGCCAGGCCAAACCCAGGAGCCTGGAATTCCATGTGGGTCTCCCACATAGGTGCAGGGGCCCAAGGACCTGGGCCATCCTCCACTGCTTTCTCAAGTGCATGAGCAGAGAGCTGAATGGAAAGTGGAACAACCAGAACTCAACTTATACCTGTAGGGATTGCCAGCACTGCAGGCAGAGACCCAGCCTGATGTGCTGCAATGTTAGTGCTCAGAGGTCACAAATATTCTGAGCATTCTGCCCACCCAAACGTGAGGACATCAAGGCCATCCTGAGATGCCTACTGATTGTCTCTTCTCTTCTTCCAGCTCGTCATCATCTTGATCTTGTCCTTTCTCCAAAGACGAGAGCACCACCGAGAGAGAGGGGATACCTTTTCCCTCCTGCAGAACCACTTTGCAATTGTCATGTGAGTTGAGTCAGGGTCAACCCCTGTGGCTTGGGGTGCTCTGTGGCTGGGGCCAGTGCCAACTGAAAGGCCAGGATAGCTCCCAGGATCCCTCCTCTCTTGCCAGCACCACATATTCTCTGCCCATCCCTGCCCCAACCCAACCAAAGCTCTGAGAGTCCAGAAGTGGTTCCCAAGTCTCTCAGGGCTGCTTCAGACATCCCCAGAAGACTCAGTCCACTGTGGAGAAGGCCTTCCCAACATTGAGACCGTAGTATATCTGCCTAAAACACCCTGGGGAATGTGTTGTTCAAGCCAAGAGGCAGGAGATTGTGTGCCCAGTGGCTGAAGGCAGCAAGACTTCATGGTGATGTGTACCACTGGTTATGCACTAGGACACCTGCTTGAGTAGTATTCAGGACTTTCTAGGTCTGCTGTTATGAGACTGTGCACCCCTTTCCAGTGCTCCTTCACTTCTGATTGCTCCTTACTCCATCTCCTTACTCCATCACTTTCACACCATCTTCATCATCATGCAATTGACATTTAAAAAAAGATTTATCTGTTTGAAAGACAGAGTTTTTTCATGCACTGGTTCACTTTCCAAATGGTTGCAATGACTGGGATTGAGTCCAGCTAAATCTAAACTGGTCTCCTATATGAGGGTCTGAGGCCCAAGCACATAGGCCACCTTCTGCTGCCTTCCCTTGGCACAAAAGGAAGCAGAGCAGCCAGGACATGGTCAGCACTCCAATATGGGAAGCCAGTTGCAGACAGGTGGTGGCCCAATCTGCTGTGCTGTGATTTAAGTCTATGCAGCTACCGTTGATCGCAGTGTCTCTGACTCAGACACTAAATTAATTGCTTTACTTGCATGACTTTGATGCACCCCTTTGCCAGTCATGTATAGTAATGAAGTTTGTTATCTTCATGCAATTGATAAGAAAACTCAGTCTCAGAGATTTGAAAAGGCTTGCCCAAGCTCACATAACTAACAGGTTAAATCTAGCAGTTTTAACTTGGATAAGACTGCTATCCTCTGATCTTATAAGTTAAACAGGTTCAAGCTGTGAGTCTGAAGTCCTGGTCTCGGATCATGGAGAAGAGAAAGGAAGCCAAAATGTCAGGCTAGGGCTGACCCGAGCTGTGTGGATAAGAAGCTCATTAGGGATACCACCCCCTGGGGAAGGCAACTCTTCCCAAATGTGTGGGGCTAAGATACACGAGAGAAGGCACAGAATAAGGCAGTGGGTGAAGATCTTCAGTTTTGCCCTGAGCAATTGGCACGCCCAGCCTGTACAGAGATGTAAGACATGCAAGAAGTGGCTCCATGGCAATCACATTCAGCTGTATAGAGCTGAATGATAATGGCACCATGTACTAGTTCACAGGTCAGTACCTCAACAAAAAAGCTCCTATTAGCTTCACCCTAGAGCAACCCTTCACCTGTACCTGGTGTCCCCCAGCTCATTCAGCACTTCTTGGTGTGCTGTCCACAGTGACTCTGTGATGTGAGCAGGGAAGGGGCTTCCATCTGTTTTAGATCTGGGGAAACTGAGTCACACATAGCCCAGAAATCCTATACAAGTGGGGTCTGGTTGAAAATGCAGGTCTGTTCAGTGTAGGGCTGACCCACAAATCTATGCTGGGCATTCACTCTTTTCAAGGTCCTATGCTGTGTCTCCACTCCAGGGGAGATTCTGGTTGACTAAGCAAGCAAGCAGTAGCATGGGGAGCTGTGCCAACATGGGGACTTGAACTTGAGGCCCAGGGGACATACAAGAGACAGCCAGGTTAGGGGCAGATGACCAGGGAGGCTGCCCCAAAGTCGGGTGGAGATGAGTGAGCACAGGAGGCCCTTCTGCCGGAAATGTCTGACTCTCTCAGCCTTTTCCTTAAGTTTCCTAGTTTTCCTTAAGGCCCCATTCTATGGGTCCTTTTTGTTAGCACCTTCTTCTTTTCACAAGTGCAATGGTTGATTCTGATCTAGAAACTGATAATCCACAGAATCTCTCTCTCTCTCTTTCACAAGACAGGGCAAAAAAAAAAAAAAAGGGATGTTTTATCCAATCATAGAAATCTCATAGAAACCTATATGACAAGATCCAGACATATTTTCCCTTGGATATGGAGAGGGCATCATTCACATGGGAACTTCATCCTATGTTTTTAAGAAGCAGCCTAAAGATTCTGGTACCTGCAGTTAAATGTCATCAGCTCACAATAGTCAGGTTGCAGCAGTGGCATATTCTAGGGCAGTGTGCTATGTACTCTATCCGTATGGAGTCAAAGTGGTACCAGTAACACCAATGATGCCCAGACCCTCTTCAGTACACTGGAAGGAAGAATTCTTACACAACAGTGCAGGGCCAGCACCCTAAGATCCACCCAGGACATACTCCTTTTTTGTAAAGTCTCTTGGGTCAGTGTTTCTCATATCCCATTTTGCTTTACCACTAGAGACTTTTCTAGTGTTCCCTCTCAGATCTGGATCTTCCCTGGAATAAGAGTTTTGCCTTCTTGTTAGTACCCTGAATCCTCACCTAGCCCCTTGCCTGGCACAAAGGACCATGGGAAGCATCCATTGCAATGAACAGTTCACCATCAGAGAAAGCCTTCCTCCAGGAGAAGTCACCGCTTTGGATTGGAGCTGACCTGGGAATGTGTCGTGCCACCTCTGGTCTCATCAGCTGTTTCTGTTGTTCGCAGGCCTCTGGATTTCGTGGGTACTTTCCGTAACCGATGGTCCTATGGAATCGCCTTTGGGGCCACAGCCAATAAGATCATGTTCTTGTTCTCAGAAGGCTACGAGCCGCTGCCGGTGCCTGAGTGGGCCCAAGGTACTGAGGCTACCTCTGACTTGCTGGGGAGTTCACGATGGAAATTCCTACTCTCTAAGAGCACATGGCAGGGTGTCCTGTGGTCTTAGATGTCCACTGTACAAAGTTGGAGTTTTTCCATATCCTTGCCAACACTTGGTATGATCAATCATTTAATTTTCAATACTACTATTAGAGATATTTTATGATGTCTCATTGCAGTCCACATTTTCATAACAACTAATGATGTTGAGCATACTTTCTTTTTAAAAAATGACTTGTTTATTTGAAAGGCAGAGTTACAGAAAGAGAGGGAGAGAGAGATCTTACATCCACTGGTTCACCCCCAAAATGGCTGCAATAGCCCAGGACGTAGCCAACCCAAAGAAGCCTGGAATTCCATCCACATCTCCCACAGAGGCACAAGGACCAAGCAACCGAGTCACTTTATGCTGCTTTCCCAGACCCGTTAACAGGAGCTGGATCAGAAATGGAACAGCTGGGATTCAAACTGGTGTCTGCATGGAATGCCGACATGGTGACTTAACCCACTGCACCACAGTACCGGTCCCTGAGCATACTTTGATGTGCTTATTTGCTATTCCTAAACTTTCTTTGATGAAATATTCATTCAAATAATTGACCTATGTATGAAAAAACTGGCATTTTTGTTTTCTTGTTGCACTTTAGGAATTCTTTACACATTCTAGATCCATCGTCAGATTTTTCCATTTTAAGTATATTCTTCCAGTTTATGGCTTGTCGTTTTCTCCTCTCAACAGAATTTTTTGAAGAACTGACTTTTTAAAAATTTATGAAACTGTTTTTTTTCTTGGGAATCATATTTATGGTGTCATGAAAGAAGTCTGTTTAAGCTAAGATCATTGCAGATTTTCTTCTGTGCTTTCTCCAGAGGTTTTATAGTCTTAAGTTTTGCATTTACATCTATACTGTATTCTGAGTTCACTTTTTGATGTGTGAACTGAAGTTCTTTTCTGCCTTGGGTTAGCACTGTTGGCCACAAAAACCTACCCTTTGCCCAGTGAACGGCCTTTGTGCCTTTTCTGAAAGTTAGTTACATGTGTGTGGATCTATTTCTGAACTCTGTTCTACTCCACTGATGTCTTAGTCTGGCTTTGCACCAATACTACACTGTCTTGATTAATATACATTTGAAATAAACCTTGAAATCAAATGATATTCATTTGCCAACCATGTTAATATTCCATGATGCTATTTTAGGTCCTTTGCATTTTAAATAATAAATTTTAAGTAATTCAAGATTATGTGTCATGGAGAAATTTTTTCTTTTGTGTGTGCTTTGAGTTAATTAAACAGATCTTTATAATATTCTTCAAATTTAGAAAAATTTCAGCCATTATTTCTTTATTCTATTCCTCCCCACAATGAGGAACCCAATAACACATTTATTATTTATGTAATAATATACTATATTATTTTCTTTTTTAAAAAAAGGTTTATTCCTGGCTTCGGATTGGCTCAGCTCCAGCCGTTGCAGCTGCCTGGGGAGTGAATCATCGGATGGAAGATCTTCCTCTCTGTCTCTCCTCTCTGTATATCTGCTTTTCCAATAAAAAAAAAAAAGTTTTATTTATTTTTGGTACAAAGTCAGATATACAGAGAGGGGGAGAGACAGAGAGGAAGATCTTCCATTTGATGATTCACTCCCCAAGTGACCGCAACGGCCAGAGCTGCGCCTGTCCGAAGCCAGAAGCTAGGAACCTCCTCTAGGTCTCCCACGCGGGTGTAGGGTCCCAAGGCTTTGAACTTGGTTGCCTTCCCAGGCCACAAACAGGGAGCTGGATGGGAAGTGGAGCCACCAGGATTAGAACTGGCACCCATGTGGGATCCTGGTGCGTTCAAGGCGAGGACTTCAGCTGCTAGGCCACAGCGCCAGGCCCATACTATCTTATTTTCTAGATAACACTAAATTTTCCATTTTATCCATCTTTTATTCCTTATTTTATGACACAGTTAATATAATTTTAGCCATTTTAAGTGAGCATAACAGCAGCATAAAGTACATCTACAATATTGTTTTTTTAATTTACATATATTTTTTATTGCATTACATTTTATAACAACGTTTCATAGGCTCTGATGTTCCCCCTTCCCCTCCCCTTCCCCTATCCCCATGGTGGATTGATCCACCTTATTGCAGTATTACAGTTCAAATCTAGTCCTGTTTCTTTCAGTGCAAGCATGTGCCATGCATAGAGTCCAGTATCTTATTGCCCAGCTGAATTGAACAGTTTCTTGGGGAGACCAACTCTGGTCTGGAGACATAGCTGGCAGATTATCGTTCCAACCAATTAAATGCCATAACACGACATCAACAACAGTTTCCAACATTATGGGGTTAATTAACATTGTATTGAGTGACTGATGTGTTAGACAATGCGAGTTCTTAACCGCATCCTGAGACTACTTCATTAACGTTTCAATTATAGTTTGTATACAACTGGCTTCTATCTAGCTTAAATTGGCTATAGGATACCATTCAGCTATCTCATGTCTATTTTCATTTTAGTATTTAGCAGTTTATTGTGTACATCTGCAATATTGTATAACCATGACAAATGTCTTTTTTGCAAAACACTTTCGTCACCCCAAACATAAATTCCAATAGTGCCTGACGCAGGTCCCAGGTCAAAGTGAATGTTTAGTGAAGGTCACCGGCATGACAAAGCTCAGAGCTGCTTAGCTGCAGGATTCCTGTGACCATGGCCTTGAGTAGGATGCACCCAGTGGCATGCAGCAGGGTTCTGCATGCTCCATCTCACCTGTGCCCATGTTGCCAGGGTGCACCTGCAGTAGTTGACTTTTAGTTTTGGGCTTATCTCTCTAATCTCTTGGTACTGTGAGCTAACCCACTGTAACCATCTTAGTGGGAAGTCCAGGGCATGGCACAGAGTAGGATTCAAGAAGGCGTGGTGCTCAAGCACATCAATGCTGCCTCATTGCTTATTGTTGTATAAAGAGAAGCATAAGCTCCCTCCATGTCCCCGGGACTCGTGGCAGAGGCACTCATAGCACCTCTTATCCTTTCTCTCTCAGCCTTCATGCTACTGATTGGTGGCCTTGAAGTTGGCCTGGCCCACTACCCCTTCTTTGCCTGCCTTTCGTCACAGTTCCGACTGGTCAGCTCCGTTTTTGGCTTCTGCTACTCTCTGACCTGGTAAGAGGGGTTCTGCCTACCCGTCCCTGTCCCTGCCAACTGTGGCCACAGCTGTAGCGCTGGACAAAAAGTGGGAGATGATCTGCGTGTTCCCCACTGGAGGGCACTTTTGGCTAGCACAGAGGCCCAGAGTGAGCAGCCGTGACTTGTCCGAGGCCCCATAGTGACCCATCTCCTCCCATCCAGGGATGGGAGATGGGCAGGTGAGCTCTCTGAGCCTTCTTCACAGGTTCTGAGATCGAGTTCTCTATGAGGGAAGTGTTCAGCCACAGGTGGTAGACACCTGTTTTGGTGTAGGAGGGTACCTGATCAGGAAGGATTCTCATGGAGGCCTGGGAACCAGCCTTCCCAAGAGCTGTTTTCTTAGGGGACCACTCCTGGGGCTGTGGTGTAGGGAGGACCAGCTGGGGAGGTCCAACCCTGTTTCTATTTCTGCAGGTTTGTGGTCACCCTTCTTCAAGTCTCCCAGTGCCCCCACGGCCCGGTAAGTCCCTGTGGACATGGGTGAGAGTGTTCAGTCCCTTCACGATAACCAAGTCACTGTGTAACCTCAGACAAACCTCTGTCCCTGTCTGGTCCTCAGCTTTCTCTTCTGTGCACCAGGGGAGCTGGTACTGCTCATGATGCTTCCCTTTGGGTCATGCCTTGGTTTCATCCAGTCGCTTGCTTGTCCACAGACAGATGTGTTCTTCCTGGAATCTGCACCGTGGTCCTGAAAGGCAAGAAGCTTCATAAGCCCATGAGGCCAAGATTTATCACGTGGCCCATGGGAAGCAGCAGAGTTGGGGATTGAAGCCATGTTTGACTGACATGGAAACCCATTTCTTTTCACTTTAAGTGGCCTCAGTTTCCACATCTGTAAAATGGAAGACTGGGAGTATATGGATTTCTGGCAGCTTTGCAGTGCATGGTCCTTGTCAAAGTTGGAAGAAATCAGGTCATCCGTGTAGCCCTGGACTTTTGGGAAAGAGTCTAGAAGAAACAGTGGTGGCCCACGACAGTGAGCAGGAGGGGAAGCATGAGAGGGCACCCAGGCTGCAGCTGCCCAGAGCCCTGGCTACACTGTTACCAGTCTTAATCTCATTTGGGGGAATAAGGGGTGTGATGAGGAGAGGTCTAGCTGAGCTGGCCTGCAAAGTGACAGCATTGACAGACCCTGCCCTCAAAATGCAACCCCCTGTTCTGTGCCACTGACCTCTTGAGATCACCCTCAAGGTTTTCAGTTTTCCAGATGTGCCTCTGCAAGTCAAGATACTTGTGGGGAACAGGGCAGTGGGAGGATAGGGTTCTGCTCCTGTGTTCAGGGTCAGCTGCTGCGTGCAAGGTGTCCTGGACAGGGTGTGAGGGTCTCCACTTCACCGAGCAGAAAGATGAGGCTTGGCAGGCCACAGAACTCGGTTATAAAACTACAAGTCGAAGCCAAAAACAAAGAAGTCCAATTTGATCTTCTGTCTTCTGCAAATCTTCTCTGAAACATTATTGATAAATATGAAACCTTGGCAAGAATTTATAGCAAGACCTGGCTCCTGATTCTTTGCCCTCTGAGTCCTTGGTCACTCCCATGGTGCAGGACTGGAAAGCGCAAGTGAGCTACCAACATCGGAGCTCCCAGGGAGTCGGCCTTGGAGGGGGCCAGTTGGGCAGGCCTAGAGCCCTGTCTCTTGTTTCACCTGCTGGCTTGGCCCTAGTTCTGTCCTCTGCAAGCCTGGGTCTGCTTCTGTTGCAGTTCCTTGGGAGGTATGAGACCATCATGTTCCACTGGCCCTCGCTACTGTGCTTGGCTTTCCTGCTAGGCCGCTTCCTGCACATGTTTGTCAAGGCGCTGAGGGTCTACCTGGGCCGGGAGCAGCAGCCGGTGAGTACTGAGTGTCAGCACTGGGGGTGCTTGGGAGGTGGGAGATGCTACCGTGAGAGCTCACATTCAGGTTCAGAAGCTCCAACCCAGAAAGGTGAATTGAGCAGCCCAAGGTCCCCCAGCTATTCAACAGTAGGCCTAGATGGTTTGGTTGTGGAGCTTTTCTCTTAACCCCTGTTGTACATAGGATGTTGGACGCTCACTGTAAAGCCTTCCAACACATCCCTTTGATGATGCCAGAAGTATAAAAAATGCAGCTTTAGCAGGCATAAAAGCATGTTTGCTGTGCAGCAGCAATAGACTTGGTGCACGGAGCCTGACAAAGAATACATGTGGACTACCAGGCTGATAGTTGATAGCCAAAGTTTGTTACCAACATCAGATTTTTAAAGAGAGGTTGTCATGTATACATCAGGGAGGGGGTTTGAGTAATTTACATCTCAACAGCATGATGTAGTCCCCTAATACACAATTTGTTCATCTAGCAGGTGCCTTCCCTCAGTCTGTTAATTCCTGTTCCCCTGCCTGAGAGAGGAAACATCTCTTTGCTGTATTATCTAAACCTGTGGAGTAGGGAGTTTCTTGTCTATTGATTTCCATATTAATTGCTCCACGGTCTTCCCAGTGGCATTGCAAATAGCTCTGGCTCCACACTGACCAAGATTCACAGTGTCCTTCCACACAAGGGTGGGATTTGGAGCGTTTGGTTCTCATCATGATGGCCCCAGCTATTGCAGGCTGTCACAGAGTTTAAGGGAAAAGACAGGTGGGAAACAGAGGAATACAAGATGCCTGACCGCATGGCTTTCCATGCAAGCATACATCTGATAAACAATGAATAGGGGCCTGGCTCCTCTGTGGCAGAAATACGAGGTGCACAGGAATGATTAAATCCTGTGCCCCAGTTCCTGTCCTCCAAGGTGATCAGTGCCTGCCTGTCTCTTTCCTGACAGGAAGAAACTGGGATGCTGGAAGCACACCAGGTCCAACATGTACAAGAGCTGCTGCGGAAGCCATGCCCCAGGTAAGCCCTGGTCCCAGCTGCTGACTGCCACTGGCTCAGCTGGGCCACTTGGGAGAGCCCTGGAGTGGTCAGGACTCCTGGGGCTGGATACAGGGAAATAATGGGTAGCCAAGAGCTGGCTCCCTAAGCCTCCCTCTGCTCTCAGCTCCACTTTTTTTTTTTTTTAATCTCAATGCTATTGTTTAATGGCTGTGTTTAATGTGACCTATCCAGAAAATGAGGACTCCGAATAAAAAGCTATTACTAATAGTAGTGTTGCCTTCCCTTGAATTCATTAATGTAAATACAATGTGTTACATACTGCATGCCACAGGGATGCTGATCCTAATTGTTTTGGAAAAGCAAATATGGCACATAAACGTTTTTGCTACTGATCTGTTTTTAGTAAAATAAGATGTTAAAGATTTAGTTAACAATGATGTAGTAATTAATATCTCAATATCAGTACAGAAATATTCTTTCAGGTACCTTGTGTAAGTTGGCTCTTCAGATAATTAACATGGCATCACAGTCTAATGATTTGTAACTTCTAATATTTACAGTTGGTGAAAAGATGATTTGGTGCAAGATCCCAAAGGATTTAAAATGATCAATTTATAATCCCTCACATAGTTTTTCATAAGAGATTGAAGCCCGGATTTATGAGTGACATTTTTTTTTTCAGCTCCACTTTTCATTGTTGACTTCACTGTGAGGTGGGCTTTCTCCACATGGTGGCCCCCGGACTCAAAATTTATTCCTAGCTATTCCAATAAAAGACCTGTGAATGTGTTTCATTGGATCAAATTGGACCACATGACACCTCTGAGCCAATGTATGTGGCTGGGTGTGCTGGACTACATGGATTGGCTAAACTTGGGCCACATGGTTCTGCTTTACTCCTAGGAGCTAGGGAGTGATGTCAGCAACAATTACTTAGCCAGGTCCCAAGACAGGGGAGGGGTAGCTCCCCAAATTCAACCTGAGGTGCTATTATTAGTAGAGGATAGCCAGGCAAATGCACCTGAAGTTCAGGGGTCACAATGACCAGCCCACTACTGCTTCTGCCACTGGAAACACAGGGTTGTGTCTCATGGAGGGATGCTTCCAATCCCGGCTGAGACAATGGCAAAGCTAGTACTGCATAGAGCTAGATTCGGCTCCTAGAGCTGAAAACTCAATGTAACAGTGGCACAAATGAAAGAGAGATTATTCCTGGCTCTTGTGTAAGAGGTTTGGAGCCAGCCAGTCCATACTCAGCCTATACTGTCTCATGACGGTGCACTGAAATCCATCTTTGTGCCTCAGCACCTTGGGATGTGCTTTCCATCTTCCATGCATCTTTGGGGTCCATGAGGGCTGTGGAAGCTCCAACTTGCACCTGCCACTGTGTCTACACTTCAGACCGCAGGTAGAAGTGGGGAGCAAAGGAGGTCTTCCAGCTGCAGCAGCTCCATCCAAGCAGCCTCCTTGGTGTCCCACAACACCTTGTTAGTCTCAACTTAGTTGTCACTCTTAGGGAAAGAATGTTGGTGTTTCTGTTTGATAAATGACTGCCTTCCCCAAAAGAAGACCTCAGGGAGAAGGAAAAGTGTACAAAGTACCGGTGTTCCTCCCCTTAAACTGAATGTCCAGATGGGGTGATGTTTAAACGAACCATAATAGCCTTTCTGTTTCTTGGTGTTCATTCACAGAGAGAAAAAAAGGTCTTGGTTCCAAACCAGGATATATGAGTGGGACCCCTGCTTCCACTTTCCCAGCAGAATGATCGGAACCATCGTACTGGCTTTCATATGTCTGTATCTTGTAAGTAGTTCTGAAGCGATACGCTACATGTTTTTAAGGAGTTATTTATTTGAGTGGCAAAGTGATGCAGGAGCTGGGGGATGCAGAGAAAGAATGATCTTTCATTGGCTGATTCATACTTCAAGTGGCTGCAGTGGGACCAGGGCAGATGTAGGCTGAAGTCAGGAGCCCAGAATTCCATCTAGGTCTCCGTTGTGGATGGCAGGGACCTAAGTCCTTGGACCTTCTTTATGTATTAGCAAGGAGCTGCATGGGAAGCAGAGCACCCAGGACTCAAATCAGAACTCTGATATGTGAAATCACAACCAGCAGCTAAGCCTACTGAACCACAGTGCCAGCTTATTTTTATATTTTATACATGGGGCAGGGTGGGAGCTGGCGTTATGAACTCTGAGATAAACACATCTTCCGAAAAAGGCAAATAAAAATTGACTCTTGATAAAGTAAAGGTGTATAATGCTTTGGCCTCACCATTTTGACCTCAAGGCTACTTTGACCCATATAGTGACTATTAGTAATAAAAGTAACTGAAGCAAAATCAAGCTGAAAATTGTTAAAACTCCATGTGATAAAGTTTGTCATGACGTAAAGGTTGATAGAAGCAAAAAGCATGTTAGAAATTATTCTGATATGTGTTTTAAAGAATACGAATCCTTAAAGAAAACTTATAAGGGCAGAATCTACATCCCATACACTGTGCTATGAATAAAAATCAGATCATTTAAATTTGATCATGAGATAAATAATTTCAATGAAATAAAAATAAAAGTGCATACATTAGAATACTAGACTTGGTTTATTGTGCAGTAATTTTTAATGTATCAAACATTTACACTTTTTAAAAAAGATTTATTTATTTTTATTAGAAAGTCAGATATACAGAGAGGAAGAGAGAAGAGAGAAAGATCCTTAGTCTGTTGAGTCACTCCCCAAGTGACCACAACAGCTGGTACTGTGCTGATCCAAAACCAGGAGCCAGGAGCTCTTCTGGGTTTCCCACATGGGCACAGGGTCCCAAGACTTTGGGCTGTCCTCGACTGCTTTCGCAGGCCACAAGCAGGGAGCTGGAAGGGAAGTGGAGTAGTTGGGACATGAACTGGCACCCATATGGGATACCCGGAGTGTGCAAGGCGAGGACTTTTAGCCATTAGGCAACTACACTGGGCACTACACCTTTTTAAGCTTTATTTTTTTGCAACCAAAAAATTAATTATCAATTATTTGTTTTAGCAAAAATTTGAAGTGTGGGCATTCTTATGATTTCAAGGCTTTATTGATGAATGTCTCAAAACACTTTGTGCAATCAGAGTTGTCTGAGCCAAAAATGGCTGGACAAAGCAAAGTCGAGTGGAGGAATGAAAATCACTAAGCCTCATTGTCTTCTGCTTATAAATGTACAAGGATGGTGAAGCTGTGTAAGTGTTGAAGTGAGGGTGTTAGGCTCTGCTGCTGTACCCAACAGCCCATTTCAATGGCTGCCCACTGCATATTTTTTGCTCACACAGCAGTGCTCAGTGGGTGTCTGGGAGGGGCGGCAGCTCTCCTCCACGCGCTCATTCAGGACCCCAGGATCCTTCTCTCATGTGCTTTTACCCTCCCTGAGGTCCTTTTCATCACTTGCATGCAGAAGGGGAAAGATGTGTATGTCAAGTGGAGGTAGGAGGGCCACACATTCCTCCCATTGGCTGCAGATTTGTCCATTTCCAACTGTAACAAAATTTCTAAGGGTGAGTAATGGATAAAGTATCACAGTTTGGAAGGTTCCTGGGGATGGTACCAGCATCAGCTCAGGTCTTGTAAGGACCTCGTGGTAGGTGACCTCATGGCAGGATCACCTGTGAGGGGGATTAGAGGTGAGACAGGGAAACCAGAGACAAAGGGCTTGTTCTTTTCTTGGACAGCCTTCTCCTAGGAGTCCCCTAGAGCCCTATTACTTTCTTTCTTTCCAGTAACTTCCCACTGGATCTGACCTCTTCAAACAACCTCTCACATCCCCACACTGGGTTCTAAGCCTCCAATGCATGAACCCCAGAGTCCAAAGGAGGGCAGGCAAAAACCTGGTCATGTGATCATAGCCAATGCAAGGGAGGTTGACAAATGGAGTCTGATTTGTGTCCTGAGAAGGGTCACTAAGAGTATGAATAGCGCATTTGGAGTTACAACGTTTCTCAAGCAGAACAAGTGTTCTTTTTTGGCAAGGGCCATGCTCAAGACCTGTGAGAGAGCTGAGAGCTCACCCAACACAGTCCTGGCTTAGGAGAAGCAGAGAAGAGTTTTCAGTCCTGAGGGAGAGCAGAACGGCTAGGGTGGAAGTGCTCTGGGAGTTTAGGGGATTGCTTTGTATTGAGCACCTGGAGATGACAGCATTTGAGCTCCACTCTTGGAGATCAACACAATCTGATGGTGGAGTGGAGTGGCAGCAGGAACTGCAGGAGCAATGACACAGTGATAGGATGATAGATGGCAGACAAGTATGTTGCATGTTTGGAAAACAGTGTCTGCTCCGATCTTGCTCCTACCCCAACTCCATGTGGGAGATGTGGCAAGAAAGCGAGTCATTCTTACTCAAAAGTGAGCCATTCTTCTGACTTCACGATTGTATGAAGAGTGACTGAGCCATTGTGGGGCCTGGTCTGGTACGCTCTAGGCTCAGGAACAAAGGTATGAACTGACTCCACACTCCCAATGGCTCACAGTCCCGCTCATTCTAGGATAACGAGCATCTGAGGTCCATTCTAAGCGGACATGGGCATGCCAAGAGATATTCATATGTCATTGCCATGCTGCATTGGACCCAGGTGAGACCTTGAACTTTTGCTGTGTCCCCAGTTCATCGTGATTGAGTTCTGCATGTTCGTGTACATCAAAGGCAGGCTGGACGTGTTTGAGGTCAAGCTGGAGGGCTACCTTACCTCTGTGAACCAGACGGGGACCCTGACCCCAATCATCCTGCAGGTGAAAGAGCTGATCAGCGTCAGCAAAGGTAAAGCTGTCTGCCCTCTATTGCTGCCCCCTGTGTGGGACACTGAGAGGAACTCTTGGTGGGTGACATGCATGTAGTGGAGTAATTATTGTTCTTCATGTTGCTGTGACCTGGCTAAGATAACTGATCTTGGAGGAAAGTGTGTTAGAGCTGATGTATGCCTCCCTGGGTAGACCAGAACAATGGAGGGATCTAAATCAGGCCATTGTATTGGCACCTACGTAAGGCGGAGTGGAACCCAACCCTGACATTTTTCTCAGCATCAAGCCTGGAGCTTTCTCTAAGATCCCAGGGCAAGTTTACTTCTCTGTTTCAAATTTAGTCTGAGCTTCACTTTAAAAAAAATTGATTTCTTGAATTTACTCCTCATGTTGAAGTCAGTTTGCATCTTTTGGCATCAACTCCCCCAAGTCTCACCACCTCTGCCCCTGGTGACCACCATTCTACTCTCTGCTTCCTTCTTCCCTTCCTCACTCTTCTTCCCCTCTCTCTTCGCCACCATCTCCTCCGCTTACAGGCAGAGTACTATTCCTGCATGTATGTACCATACTGTCTTTGTCCACTCATCCTCTGATAGACACTTGGATTGAATCCCTTACTTTGATTGTTGTGGCTGGCGCTGTGACAAACATGGGGGTGGAGTTACCTTTGCAGCTTGCTGACGTCATCTCCTCTGGCTATTTGCCCAGTAGGGGGACTGGCTGGATCACATATTAATTTTTTTTAAGATTTATTTATTTTTATTACAAAGTCAGATATACAAAGAGGAGGAGAAACAGAGAGGAAGATCTTCCATCTGATGATTCACTCCTCAGGTGACCGCAATGGCTGGTGCTGCACCTATCGGAAGCCAGGAGATAGTAACCTCCTCCAGGTCTCCCACACAGGTGCAGGTCCCAAGGCTTTGGGCCATCCTCAACTGCTTTCCCAGGCCACAAACAGGGAGCTGGATGGGAAGTGGAGCTGCCAGGATTAGAACTGGTGCCCATGTGGGATCCCGGCATGTTCAAGGTGAGGACTTTAGCCGCTAGGTCACAGCACCAAGCCCCAAATAGTAATTATTTATAATCTCTTAGAAAAAACTCCATAATGGGGGTCTTAGTGTACCTTTCCACCAGCAGCAGACCTGAGCTCCTTTTCCCCACAGCTTTGCCAACATATCTTCCACCTTTTTGTTAATAGCCATTTTGTAGAGCATGAGGCTACAGATCATTGTGACTTTAATTTGCTTTCCCTGGTAATTGGTGATGTTGGGTACTTTTCATTTACCTCTTCTCCATCTGTATGTCTCCTTCCGAGGAGTGTCTATCCACTCTTCCTCCTGTCTCTAAAAACAGCTTTATCAAGATATAATACTCATGCTTCCCGATTCAGCCACTGGACAGTTTGGTCACTTGTGGCATATCCTCAAGGTTGTATAACCATTACCACGATCACATTTAGAACTTTCTATTGGCCCTCTTTCTCTACTAAGAAGTAGAAACTACAGAAACTTTTAACCCAACTAATTGTGTTCCTTCCTTATTTCTGTATCTCTCTCCCATAAGTACACCAGGTTGCTCTGAAAAAAAAAAAAAAAGAGGAGTAGATTCTAAAGATCAGAAACTTCTGAAGGATAGAGAATCAATACCCAGGACCTCTTCAGGAAGTTATTTTTGACCTTGGTTGTTGTGTAACCAATGCCCCTTTGGAAAAAGAAAGAGACAGGAGGAAGAGGAAAAGAAGAAAATGGCAGTTGAAACTCAAATATTAATGTCAGAGATAATGGCCATTATTGGCATGTATATCCATAATTTTCTCTTTCCTTTATTTGCTGTTGAAGAAAAATATTTGCACTAAAGGAGAGCACTGTACGGAAGGAAAAAGTATCGCAACTGAAAGAAAAATGAACAAATGTTTACTCATATAATAAATGTAAAAGTAAGAGTAATAGATTTTTGTCTATAACTTTCTAATGGAAGATTCTGGTTTTGGAAATTCCATTTTATGCTTGTTGTTTGAGGCCTCTCATATCCCTTTTCACATTTCAGGAGTCTGGGTGGTGACCATTTTGCCTGCTTCCTTCACATGTGTGAGCTACTTGTTCCACATTTTAGTCCGTTACAGGTAAGAGGAGGCCGGAAGTCATCTGAGTTCTTTTCACCAGGGATGTGCATTGCAGGCTGTCCTTGTAATTCCAGAGCAGTCCTTGCAATACCCAGCATGAGCCCAGGAAATGAATACAAAGTCCAGGGAAGACTACATCGAGTTTTTTGAAAGGAAGAGAAAAAGAGAATGACGATGAGCTGATGGTACACTTAGCATCTTCATTTGAGTTTCACCCAGCTCTGAACCCTGAGACTCAACAAAATTAATTAAGTTCCCTCCCAAGAAATGAGACAACCAAGTTATCACCTACAAAAGACATCTCTATTGGGTGTCAGCTTGCCCTGTTTCCAGGGCTACTAGCCCAGGACTCCCAGCAGGTGATTCTGGCTCAGGAGGAAATCAGTGGAGATGAGTTAAAATAGACGGAGCATCCATCTCAAAGCAGCAGTCTCTGAAGAAGGCACAACCTGAAACACATACTTAGCATCTGCATGTAGATGGCAGTTGAATTTAGGTATCTACTGTGTGAGTCTCTTTCTCTCTGTCTTTCAAAACACACACACAAATTCACTCTCACAGGAAGCCTGCCAGGCACAAAAGGCCCCAATTCTGCCACTCAGCCTTGGCTTGCTTCCTTTCTCCACTTTCTTCTCCCTGGACCACAGAGGTGATCTGGACACAGCCGCTCCCCCTGGAGTTTGCCTGGCATAGACACAGGTCTGTACCTTGCCTCGTTATTCTGCTTGCACATGGAGAGATTCGGTGAGATATCAAAACACAACCAGAGACAGCCACACTGCAGAGCGGACTGCACAGACCTGGAAGGGATGGCTGAAAGTGCAGGCTGTATAAGGCATTTGGGGAGAGGAATCCTGTGCTCAGTTCCAAGCTGCCCCTGCTTTTTGATCAGGAGAAAGCACTCTTCATACTGCAGAGCAAGGTGCCAAGCTGTTGGATTTCTCTTTGCATTATCCCAGCCTATGCAAAGTCACGTACAGTACCTTTGAGAAGCCTTCAGAGTTTGCAGAAAAAAAATAGACATAGATGAAAAGTTTAGTTTGGCACAAAAATGCATAATTTGTTCAAAGAATGTGCAGACCCCATGCTGCATGTCACTAAGAATATTGAGGGTAAAGTTAGTCCTCTTTGCATTGAAATCCTTAACTTGTTGCCTCAGCTAACCACAGCCAACTGATTTTGGTGTCCCTTCCAGACATTCCCGTGCACAGTGTGTGTGTGTGTGTGTAAAACTATTATGGGTAGCATACTCAATTCCAATGCTGCCATATGGAAGCATAATGAAAGTCACATAGGTAACTTTGAAATTTCCAGGAGCTACTTTCAAAAGAGTAAAACAAGACTAGACTGGGTTCCTTCATTTCAAAAATATATTCTTTAACCCAGTAGATCACAAATGATCTCAAAAAAAATCATAAGTAGGAAAAACTATCCATGAAATAGCTACGAAACATGAATAGCTTATGTTACCCTAAGAATGGCCAAGTACATGGCCATGAAAAGTGTGTAAGGACCTGGGAGAGTGCTGGAGCCATTGACTAATGGAAGCAGGGTTCAGCTGTGAATGCAGAATGGGAACAGGACCATGTCAAGCTGGCCTCTAGGCACAGAGCTGTACTAGCACAATAGGAGGAATTAGCATGTGGAGATGGGGTGGTGTGGTGAATTGAAGTCTACCTGTCCCTTTGTGATTTTTCTTTATGCTTTTATAAGATTAGAGCAGCCACCCAACTGATTTTCTGCTTTTCACTGGCTTTAAGTCTCATGACCTAAATAGTACATGGCACCATGGAAACGATAGAATAAAGGAAGCAAAGCCCTTCAAAGCCACACCTGAGCTCATCAATCAGACTCAGCCACATGGTGACTACTGATTATTTGGACACAATACATTCAAGTTGGGAAATCTTGAAAGCAAAGCAGAGCCATACTGTAAGCTGAATCACTCCATGGTGGTGAGGGATCCTGGGACAGCCGTTCAGTCGGAATCTGTTACACCCCAATGATGTGTAAAGAACTGTGGCTTTGTCTGTGAGGACTTCATTTCCTGCTTTTTCACAGGACGCACATAAAGAGGCTGTGGGCCGGAGACAAGCACTTCCTCCCCCTGAAGTTCCAGAACCCTTCCTCATCAGAGAGTGTGGTGAGTTTGCAAGAGGTTTTTGTTCTGGGTCACCCCGCAGCCCTGCAGGATGAGGCACTCTGAGTCCACAAGCCCCATCCTGCTAGGTTGCCTGACAGCTCCAGACAGCTCCCCAGCCATGCTGGGGCTTCAGTTCCCAGGTGGAAAAGAGCAGCATTGGCTGCACTAGCTGGGCATGGGGCTTCCCCAAAGAGTGTGGGCTGCATGGCACATGGGGAATGAAGGTTAGCTCCTGCTTTTTGCCTTTACACACTCAGGTGGCACTTGCAAGGTACTCTGGCTGGCAAATCGCTTACATTCTCTGGGGTGAGTACCATCTTGCGATCTGCTCAGTCCAACCAGCATACCTTCCCTGGATTTCTGAGGATTCCTGCTTTCAGGGGGGCAAGAGAGAGGAGAGTAAGGGAGGGCAGTTGGAGTGTCTGCCCTTAAAGGGCTGTCAGGGCAGGGGGCACACATAGTGGGTCATCTGTGCCACCATCCTGAATGCCCAGGATAGGAATACTAAAGGCAGGTGACCCAGAGAAGGAAGTATCTATCCATGCCCAGAAGAGGTCTCATATACTTCCTAGGGAACTTGGCATTTGAATTACACTGAGTGTGGTGGTGGTGGTGGGGTGAGGGGGAATGAGGGCAGGCAGAAAATGGTGTGGACTGAAGTGGTCATGAAGAGACTAGAGTGAGCCTGACTTCATTGCACTCCTATCCACCCTGCAGGCTACCTTATCATCCACGTGGTACAGAGCCTGTGTGGCGTGGCCATCATGTACAGTCTGGTGCTGCCCTGTATGCACAACCACACTCTGGAGATGCTCCGAGGGTTGGGCATTGGGATGTAAGTGCCGGCAGGCATCTGAGTTGGGTCCCAGGAACCATGGGGGGATGAGGCCCTGCAGCTGCTCTTTAAAGCCACCTTCCTTGCTGAGCTCTCACCAACCCTTGGCCCCTGGCCTTGGCTGTCATCATATCAGTTCATGTGGGCAGAATCTTACAGTTAACCAAAAACTTCTCCCATTGCATGGGGATCCACCTAAGTCTGTGTGTGTGTGTGTGTGTGTGTGTGTGTGTGTGTGTGTGTGTGTGTGTGTGTGTGTGAAAGAGAGAGAGATATGAATGTTTTAGGTGGGAAAAACAGAAGTATAGGGAAACAGGGTAAGAGGCAGGATAGTATGATGGAAGGGAGGCAGGAAACCCTGGCTAAGCTTTTTTATTATTTTTTTAAGATTTATTTATTTTTATTGGAAAGGCAGATATACAGAGAGGAGGAGAGACAGAGGAAAAGATCTTCTGCCAGATGATTCACTTCCCAAGCAGCCGCAATGGCTGGAACTGAGCCAATCCGAAGCCACGAGCCACTTCTGGGTCTCCCACGTGGGTGCAGGGTCCCAAAGCTTTGGGCTGTCCTTGACTGCTTTCCCAGGCCACAAGCAGGGAGCTGGATGGGAAGCAGGGCTGCTGGGACTAGAACCGGTGCCCATATAGGATCCTGGTATGTTCTAGGTGAGGACTTTTAACTGCTACGCTATCACACTGCCCCACTTTTTGTTTAAAGATTTATTTTATTTTTATTGCAAAGTCAGATATACAGAGAGGAGGAGAGACAGAGAAGAAGATCTTCCATTCAATGATTCACTCCCCAAGTGACCGCAACAGCTGGAGCTGTGCTTATCCGAAGCCAGGAGTCAGGAGCTCTTCCAGGTCTCCCACACACATGCAGGGTCCCAAAGCTTTGGGCTGTCCTCAACTGCTTTCCCAGGCCAGAAGCAGGGGAGCTGGATGGGAAGTGGAGCTGCCAGGATTAGAACCGGTGCCCATATGGGCATTCAAGGCAAGAACCTTAGGTGCTAGGCCATCGTGCTGGGCCCCCTGGCTAAGCCTTAAAACTGCAGTGTGACTTGGGCGAATTATTTCCTCTCTCTGGGTCTCTGTTTACTTATCTGGCCAACAACGGTGAACACCAGCGTCACTGAGCATGCAGGATGCACCTTCTCCCCTAACAGTCCATGAGTCAGGTGCAGATGTGAGCTTCTGCCCTGCAGCTTGAGCAGCAGAGACACGGAGAGGCCAAGCATTTTTTGCAAGCAGGTGGAAAGCATGGCCTCCAGAGCTGAGTGCTCTTGAAAACAAAGCCTACAGCAGCTACTGCCCACCACTGGTCCCACTGGGGAGGCAAGCCTATGAGTGGAGCCCCCAGGGACCTCCCAGCTCTGAGCTCCTTGAGCACAACCAGCCTTGTCCACTCTCTTGTAGTCTTCTTAGATACCTGCCCAAACCCTGTTCCTGTCTTTGATTCTCAACCTGTCAACATCCATCCAGGTGATGCCTGATAAAACGGAACCTCAGTGAGCTCCTAGAGTAATAGGCTGTGATCTGGAGGTTAGAAGAGGGGCCAGTGTTCTGGTGTGGTGCGTTAAGCCACTACCTGTGATGCTGGCATCCCATAAGGGCATTGGTTTGAGTCCTGGCTGCTCTACTTCTAATCCAGCTTCCTGCTGATGCAACTGGAAATGCAGCAGAGGATGGTTTAAGTTCTTGTGTCCCTGCACCCATGTGAGAAACTTAGAAGAAGCTCTTGGTTCCTGCCTTTGGCCTTGCCCAGCTCTGGTCATTACAGCCATTTGAAGAGTGAGCCAGTAGATGGAAGATCTCTGTCTCTCCCTCTCCCTGTGTAATTTGCAATTCTATCTTTTAAACAAAGATATTGAGAGAGAGAGAGAGGCCTGGCTTTGCAGTCTTAGGACAATCACTAATACTTTGTGAGCCTCCGTTTTCTCACCAACATAAAGGGTATGCACATGCCCTGTAGGCAGTAAGGCACGTATTTCTGCCGGTCACTCCAAGGCATCAGGTCAGGGCCCAGGGTGTGTAGAAGGCCACCTGCAGACAGGCTCGCCCTTGTTTCAGCCTCACCGTGTCCATCGTCGTGGGCCTCATGATCCTGCAGGTGTGGATTGCCTCCAGTTTCTTCCTGCAACCCAAGCTGGGCCCGGCAGACAAGCAAAAGCCCCTGGCACTCAACAACAGGTGATGACTGAGAGGAGTGGGGTGTCGTAGGGTTGTAGCTATGCCCCCAGGAAGCTCCCCTGGGCAGGCTCTGAGGCCATGGTACAGCTACCAGAGGAGGGTCCCGGAGTCAGAATGTCTGTCCCAGTGCTGCCCCCAACCCTGCGGAACCATATGACCTTATGTGACTTCATCAGACTTCTGTGAACTTCATTTCCCCCTTCAAAAATAATTGTGCTCCCCTCCAAGACTCTAAAAGCATGAGATATGTCTAATCTGAGCTTGCAACCACAGTGCACAGCACAGGGCAGTTATAATTTGTTCATTCAAAGCCACTTACTTACTGAGAGAACAATCTGGACACAGAAGGTTAGAGGTTGATGACAATGCCATCTCCCTGTGAGATGCTCACAGCCCACGGAGTGGACAGCAGAGATGGCAAGGATAGTGGACATGAGAATGGAGAAAAAGCAAGGCATGAATAATGGAAGGGGAGGGGCAGGGTGTGCAAGAGGAGTCAGGGGAGCTGAAATCCATTGTGTGCAGGGACACAGCGCCGAGCTGGCCAGGCTGGTAGGTTTTCTACAAAGAGGAGAGGATGTGGCTAGCTAACAGCCCCACCAGGCCAAACAGCAGAAACCAGGGAATGGCAGAATGCTATAGTAGAAAATCAGAATCCATGGCTTCACACAGCCAGGGCCAGGAGGGATACGTAGAGTGATAGGGCAAGCCAAGTCCCCGTCAGAGCAACCCTGAGAGACAAGGTGCTGTTAGAGGCAGCAGGAAAGCATGAGCTCAGGTGGTCTTTCCAGAAGGTTCCTCCCTCTTAGGGGACTTTGGGGGAAGGAGGTGAAAGTCCTTGTTGCCCAGACATGGGGAAGCCTCTCCCTGTGCTACTGTGACCCCAGACCCAGCCGCAACACTGTGAGATTCTAACCCTACAGGAAGACAGCTTCCCCCTGCCAACCCAGGAGAGAGTATAAGTGCAGCTCCACTTCTCACTCATAGTGGTCCTGCACTCATCCTATCAGCGTGGAGCTGAGAGGGGGGTCCAGCTCCCCTGCACCACCAGCCTTCAAGGTCACAAAGCTAGTAGTTGCAGGATCTAGGAGACTGGAAGATTGCTGCGTGGTCCCTGTGCCCTATTGAAGCACTTGTCATAGCTGGTCTCTGCCCACAGGAGAGCCTTCCACAACTTCAACTACTTCCTGTTCTTTTACAACGTGCTGCTGGGCCTGGGGGCCTGCCTCTCCCGGCTGCTCATCAGCTGTGTCTTGGGCACATGGTTCATTGCACGCATTGACAGGACCATCATGCAGAGTGGCTACGAGAAGGCAGACATGGGTGAGTGGTGAGCCCCACCCCAGGTTGGTGGCCATCTCTGGGAGGCTGCTTTTGAGCCCTGGTGGCGACTGCCTGGGGGGAGGGCGATGTCAGAGTCCTGGAGGTCCACACTTCTTTCCTGTGCTCAGGCCTCATTCTCCCACAAGGTCACAAAGCCAGGCAAGACCAAACTGCAGTCCCGGAGGAAGTTCAAGGTTATCTCTGCGGTCTGCCCTCTTAGCAAGCATTTAAGATATCAGAGGGAGGAGGGTAGAGTTAGGGGTGGCAGAATTCTGCCTGTGCAGCCAAAAGTTAATTTGTGGAGGCAGGGCTCTGAAAATGTAAAGGGAGAACACATCTCAAAGTTATTGGTGGTATCAGTGGAAAAACTTACTGACTGGGAAAGTGTGTAATCAAAATACTCTGCACTCTAGCAATTTCTGAGAGAGCAGAAGAGTTTTTGCCCTATTTCCCTTGGCATTATCTTCCATGCATGTGCCCGTCTGACATGCTCATTATTACCTGTCCCTCTCTGCTAGGGCCACTCCTCACCCTTGTGAACTTTGTCCCCCACAACGTATGTGGGTCAGGATCCTTGGTTTCTGGATCTTCCACAAAGACAGATATGTATGGGACACAAACATAGGTCCTAAGGCACACACACACACACACACACACACACACACACACACATCTATACACATACCTGTACAAACACACACAAACGCCTCTACACATATACATACACACATACACACAAATATATATACACCTTCACACACATCTGTGCAAACACACCTATACACAATATACAACCCATACAAACACATATACACATATATACTCACACGTTTATAACACCTATACAAACATACATATACTTAAACATACACACACCAATAGAAGCGCACTGAAACACATGTATACACATATCCACATATACCTACATACATGCAAACTCTGGGCCATGCAAGGAGAACCCACCTGGCTTGAGCTTCCTCCACTGGGTTTCAGGCTTCAGTGCATGGACTGGCATGCTGTACGTGGACCATTATCACACCAACCCTGTGCTCGTCAGCTTTTGCCACATCCTGATTGCAGGCCAGCGGGAAAGGAAGATGCAGAGCAGCATCAAGTACTGCTATCTAAACTGTAAGTCTCCTCTTCGAAGCAACTCTGGGTTCATGCAGCAGGAAATGAGTGCCTGCAGGCTCCTTGGGACCAACCTACCTCTGTCCACCACCCAAGATTGGTCCAAACTCTATGCCTTGGATGCCCTTTGGAAGGCATGGCTCCAAGGCTACCTGGCTAAAGGACCCATTCAAAGCTCTATCTTGTGGTTCTAATTGGTCTCCTTCCTGGTTCCTAGAAATGAACTTGGACTCTATAAAGTGGAGTCCTCCATCTCCAGCTTGTTGGAGATGCCAGCCCATGTCTCAGGCAGCACGCCAGCCACCTGCAACATGGGGCTTAATTTTGATTATCCTGTCTTATTGCTTACTGCAAGCTCCCTGCAGCTGCCATGACTTCTCAGGACTCAGATATGTTCAATACTGTGCCCACAATGTGGACATCCAGTTCTGAGGAATGACTCCAATCCTGCCAGCTTCCTTCTTGCACATCTTGTACCCAACTTGCACATTCCAAGTGGCCCACTCCAATGCCTTTGAGGATGGTGGAAGCAAGTGAAATGCCCTAATTCTCTTCTAGATCCCCGCATCTCAGCCAGGTCCAGGACGAGATGGTTCCTGCTACAGACCCTGATCAACAACCCCAGGCTTGTCACGTTCAGAAAATCAAAACCAGAGCCCTGCTCCTAGGGGATTACCCAGACCCTATGAACATGCTTGGAGCGCTGGCACTCGCTCCCACACCTTACCTCCCAGGTCAGGCCAGACCACACACCCCTGAAAAAGGCTCAGGCTTAACCAGCAGCTGTACCCATGATGAGATGGCACCATTACCATGCTTGCGAATAGCAGTTGGCATTGACTACCTGTGGGATGGCCGCTGGGACTGAAGCCTCAAGACTGCTTCACTCCATTAACAGAAGAAGAAGAAAATCAAACTAAAGTTGATTGGGCCAGCTTTGCCCCTTAGTGACTCCTACAGCCCAAGCCATGGGGAGTTGCACACAGTTGAAATGTAAGAGAGGATGCTGCATCATTGCAGAATGTCAGGCACAGGGTCTACACCAGAAAAATGTAACTGCCAGGCTGCATGTTTCCCCAGAACAGCAGGATTTTCACTGCTTCCTTCTTTCAAGGCTTCATGGGGGTGGGTGAGAGACTGAAGGAAATCCATCATTCCTACCCCAATCAGAGAGGCAGAATGGACCCAAGGAGCTTTCTTTCCATGTGCACCAGGATGACAAATGGGACAGAACTGACCTGGGCCTAGGTCACAAAGGAGCTGCACAGATGACAAGGGCTGGAGCACCTGGGAAAGCAACTTGCCTGAGCAGGCAGTGATGAGTGGGTGAGCATTCTAGCTGAGAGACAACACGAGTAGAGCTGCCTGAGCAAACAAGCTCCTGGGTGTTGGAGGCATGGGAGCACTGAGGCTGCTCAGAGCTGCTCCCGAAGAGGCTTGGCCTGGGTGGCTGGCCAAATAGATTGTGCTGGAGTGCAGGGCTGTGATGGCCTAAGACCTGATTAGATGCTGACCATTCAAATACCCTTCCAGAAGGCCAGGCGGCTGATGTGAGGACCCTTGCAATATGGCCAAGGGAAATCTTCATCCACCTCTTGCTGTAACATGGTTGTCATTATCAAGCCCCTAAATAAACCAAGTCCTGTCACCAAACATGTTTTTAGCTGCATCTCCACTACTAAGCTTTTTCATTCTGTTCTCAGAAACAGAAAACTAGGAGGAGTCCCATGCCACCACTTTATAGCTGAGTGAACTGGCCTAGTCACTTTGTCATTCTGTGTTCACTTTCCTTATCTATCTGTACCTCTATATCTATATCTATATCTATATCTATATCTATATCTATATCTATATCTATATCTATATAAGGCAACACCAGCCATTGCTCAAATTAGTTTTTTTTTTTTGAAGATTTATTTTTATTATTTTTTTATTGGAAAGGCGGATATACAGAGAGGAGAGACAGAGAGGAAGATCTTCCGTCCGATGATTCACTCCCCAAATGAGTGCAACGGCTGATACTATGCCGGTCCGAAGCCAGGAGCCTCTTCCGGGTCTCCCACGTGGGTGCAGGGTCCCAGGCCACAGGCAGGGAGCTGGAAAGGAAGCGGGGCTGCCGGGATTAGAACCAGTGCCCATATGGGATCCTGGGCGTGCAAGGCGAGGACCTTAACCACTGCACCACCGCGCCAGGCCCTCAAATTAGTTTTAAGGATAAAATGAATTCATACCTACAAACACTTTTATTTTAAAAATGTGTCATTTTTAAATTTATTTGATAGAGGAGACAGAGAATCAGATCTTCTATTTGTTGGTTTACTTCCCAAATAGCTACAATGAGCCAGGCTGAGCCAGGCCAAATCCAAGAGCCTAAAAATCACCAGGTTTCCCACATGGGATGGCAGCTGGCTGAGGACTTGTCAGCCTCTGCTGCCTTCCCAGATGCATTATCAAGGAGCTGGATCAGAATCAAAAATTGAACTGGTACTCTGATTTGGGATGCTGGCATCACAGGCAGCAGCCCAATCCACTGTACCACAGTACTGGTCCTAACAATCACTCTTAAGCTAGTGTTTGACATATCCTAAACTCTCAATAAATAACAGTTGTTATTAATCAGGTGACACTTTGTGCTGATCTGATTAATATCTGCTCACCTCCTCACTGAGACATCATCTCCCTAAAGAACCAGGCCTTCCAGGCTCAGACAGAACACCAAAGGCATTTGAAAGATAGCAAGTAGCATGACAAGTTACAGGCATGGGCATAACCCAGGGGACTTGTGACACTCTATCAGATGAACCAACATATACATCCTAGGCATCCCAGAAGGGAAAGACGTGGGAAAATGGACAGAAAAATACTGGAAGGAATAATGGCTGGAGTTTTTCCAGATTAGGTGCATTAAAAATGATCTATTTACATGTCATCTGCAAGAGACTCTAGATGTGCAGACAAAAAATTATTGGAAACAAAATCATGTAACAAATAAAAATAAAATTCATGTGGAATCACAAAACACTCCCAATGGACCAAGCAAGCTTAAGCATAAAGAACAAAGCTGTAGACATTACAATACCTGACTTCATAACATACTGCAAAGCTGTAGGAACTCAAACAGCATTATGCTGACAAGCTCCCAAAAATAAAACACACATATCCACAAACAAATAAATTTTGACAAAAGCCACAATAATATACATTGAATAAAGGACAATCTTTTTGATAAATGGTGCTGGGAAAACTAGATATGCAAGTGCAGAAAAACTGGATATATCTCTCACATATACAAAAATCAGATCCCTGCAAACCAAATGAAATGTTAGGTCTAACCTACGGCAATACCAGAAGTAAATGTGAGAAAAATATTCCAGGACATTGGCCATGAAAAGATTTTGTTTTGTGCAAATGATACCATAAGCAGTGGAACAAAAGTAAACAACTAAATAGGGTTGCATCAAGCTAAATCTTCCACATAGCAAAGGAAAGGGAAACTTTTAAAAGTGAAGAGACAACCTACAGAATGGAAGAAAATCTTTGCAAAGCGTTCATCCAAAAAGGGAACTCAAACAGTTCACAGCAAAATCCATGATCATCATCATCATCATCATCATCATCTGGTTTAAAAATAGGCAAATGACTTGAATGGAGATTTTTCAAAAGAGGACATATACGTGGCCACCAAGCACATGAACAAAAAATGCTCAACATCACTAACGATAAGGGAAATACAAATCAAACCACAAGGAGACGTTTTCACCCAAGGTAGACCGTTACTAAAAAGGGGGCGGGGGCAGGGCAGGAAGACAAACGCTGGTAGGGATGCTTTGAAAGCGGAATTCACCTACATTCTTGGTAGGAGTGTAAATTAATATGGTCATTATGGAAAACAGTATGCAAGTTTTTTTTAAAAAAAGTTATTAATGGAACTACCTGTGATTCAGCAATCCCAAAGGAGTTAGAATCAATAGGTCAAGGAGGTGTTGGCACTCCCTTGCTCATTGCAGCACTCTTCGTAACAGCAGAGATAGGAAGTCCCTGTGGACTGAAGAATGGATGAAGTGTGGCATAAACACAGTCGGGAACACTGTTGATCCACAAACAGAATGAAATGGTGGTGTTTGTAACCACGTGGGTGGAACTGGAGGGTGTGATGAAAGACAAATATTACATCTTCTCATTTATATGTAAAAGCTAAGAAATTGACCTCACAGAAATAGAGAACAAATAGTGGTCAGACTGGGAATACCATGCAAAAGGCAAACACATATTACCACACATAATCCAAACTCAAAGTCCCTTAAACTGGGGAGGTAAATTCTCTGTGATAGGATTATGGCTTGTTCTTATGATCTCCACTGAATGCTTAGCTATTTTGTAATTCTCCATAATAAAAGCATTGTTTAATGATAATAAAGTCATATATGTGGTATGCCCATGTATTTAAACCATGCCATTTTAGGGAAAACGAAAGAAATAATCAAATTACAGGTGTGCCAGGAACTAGAACCCAAGATATCTCGGGCAGCAAAAAAAAAAAAAAAAAAAAAAAAGAGTATTTAGGGTGTAATAGGCCTTCTAGGAGCGGCAGAGACCAGAAACTGAAAGTAATGGGTGGACATTTTTTATTTATTATTTTTCATCCCTTCCTTCAGTCACCTATACTTTGCTTCCAGCGAAAACGAACTGGTTTTCACTGTCATAATTCACTGTTAGTAAAGCCAAGTATGAAAATGAAGGGGTCCATCCAACTGCCCAGTTTCCGATGCTAGCCGAGGTCACTTGCCCTAGAAAGATGGCATGGGGAGCATTTAGTAGTGTTCTGCAGGGGATCCCTGCCCAGGGGATGGGATCAGCCTTCAGGGGAGCAGTTCCCCGACTCCTGTGGCATCGGTCACTCCTGGGCAACGTGGCTTGGGGCCAGGTAAGCGGGGCGGGGCCAGCGCGACCCGCCCGCGTTACCTTGGAGACCAAGCGTCCAGCCACGGATACAACTGTACTGACAACGCAGCGGCGCTCTCCTACCGGTGGGGCCGCTGTGCAGAGTCCCTTTCGGGTGTGTGCTGGCCCCGGAGCTGGGGATCTGAGGTGCTGCCCTGAGCTGCCTGGGGGACTCGAAAGGTACGGGAAGATTGGACTGGATGTAAGGCTCCTCATTTGGGTGTCCAGAATAAGGCGGCGCCCGCCCCGTGTCCCCCTGCAGGGTCGGCTCCTGGAGTCGGATTCAGAGCAGGGGGCTTGGGGCTCCAGCCCCAGCGGACAGGCACTTGGCAGAAGCGGGGCGGGGTGGGGGCCGAGTGAGGGGACAAACAATAATCCTGGGGTGCCCTGAAGAGTTTTTCCTCCTGAAGAGTTCTCCTTCTTTCCTCAGCTCCTGTCGCTGGATTTGCTTGGTGCCAGGCACCTAGGGTTAAGCCCCTGGGTTGATTTCAAGCGTCCCTGGCTCTTACTCAACTTTGTTCTATTTAAAAGGAAAACTTTGAGCCGGCGTGAAGGTCTCCGCCACTGGGGTGCCTGCTGGACCTGCTTTTGAGACCAGCACGGGTTTGAGGAGGCCACATCTCAGACACATTTCTTGGAGGACAGTGGGACTCCTGGCAGGGGCGACAAAGAGATGTCATCGCCGATGGGGAAGGTGACGCAGGTGCACAGCGGGAGCGTCTACCAGCAGATCTTCCAGGCCCAGGTAGGGCCGCCTGAGCTCTGGGTTCCGCCCCTTCCCTGTGCTCCCCACGAAACGCCCCTTCTTCCCTCAGAGGGCTTTCCTATCCGGGCTGTGATTTTTCCAACCGTTTCTTAGTGCTTCTTCAACAGCATTAATGCAGAACTAGAATGGCCACTCTTGAAAATGAAAGGACTTAAGTGAAAATTTTAAATAGCTCAGAAACAGCCTGAATCCATCAGTTGATGTCTTGGATCTGTGTCCAAAATAGTTCTGAAGTTTCTAAGTGGGCCTTGTCACAGGCCAGTGGCATGGACTGGCTTTTTCTCCAGTGTAGTGTCTCTGGGATGCTTTTGCATATACAACCTCACCTTGAGCCCCACAATGCTCCAAGGAAGGCTCCTCTTAGTGACTGTGGAGGTTGTTGACCCTTCTAAAGCACTGTGCAGAAAAACAGCATCTCTGAACAGAAATGCACAGAACCCAATCTTTCCTTGGGGCTTCCAGACCGCTTATTTAAAAAGAGTCTTTATTCCCACATTGGACTCTAAGTAATGTTCTTTATAGATAGTCTTAGAAAACACAAAAGAATAATTAAATGACTCCTACCCCCACTGTAAGCAACTCGCTATTCTGAAGGTTAAACACACCCCCATCCTTTTTTTCCCCCCTCTATGCCACTTTGAAATTACACTGTATACTTTTGGTTTGGTTTCATGCACACCTTCAGTTGATACACTTAACTAGTACCCTCTCCTAAGAAATTGTAAGCCTCACCTTTAATATAAATGCCTGACACTCTATCCATGGAAGGAGCATGCCATGGTCATGTGCCCAATCCCTGATTGTTGGATGCTCCTGGGTCTCCAGGTCTTGTGATTGTAAGTAAGGCTAGGATGAGCATCTGGCTCCTCGTCCAAGTTTCTGAAGAGTTCCCATCCTTAAGTGTGGGGGAGGAGGGCACTAGGTAGGCATGAGCCCCGGGGTTGTGGAGGCCTCCATGCAGAGTGCCTTCTCTGTGGCAGGTCTCTATGTGTCCTTTTAGGACAGGCATGGCCAGCCCAAGAGTATAGGGCATCTGTAACTCTGAGCACCCAATCCTTGTCTCCCATGGATCCAGGTGCAGCTGGTCCAATCCCTAGCGGCCACGAGAAAGCGGGCAGCAGAACGTTCTAGGACCCTGAAGCATTCTGCCAGGAAGAAAAGCTCTCTGAAGAAGGTAGATGGGCCTGAAGAGCAGGTGCCTCCTGGGCAGCACAAGTGGAAGGCCAGCCTCCCCCGTGTCTCGACCACCAAAAACCCCATTCTGTACAGGTAGGTCCTGCTGCCAGGCCACACAGCAGTAGTCTCACAGGATGTTTGCCTGGTAGGAATGAACTCTCAAAGTGGGGGGATAGCTGTGGCTTGGTGGATAAGCCTGTGGGACGAGGGTCAGGGAAGCTCTCAGCTGAGCTGAAACTGGAAAGGAAGAGAAGGATGTCCAATCCTCCCAACTGAGACAGCTTGTCCTGAGTCCCAGCTCTGTCCTCCCACCTGCCGGGGCCTGGGCATCACAAGGGTTGGTCCTGGTCCCAGGAATAGCTGAAGGCACCTGGTTTTCTTGGTGGCTCCTGTCCTTCTGATCCTCCATCAGCCCACATGGTAGATGGCTTGGGTCACCCTTCCCACTGGGTTTCCCACCTGGAAAAGAAGCCAGCTCACTGAGGACAGGGCCAGGGCTTCTTGTTTCAGAGCCATGCAGTGTCTGGGAGTAGGAACACTGCTCAGGGCTCTCTGGGATGAGGGTGGGCCTGGGCCAGGGATGCCCATGCACAATCCCTCTAGAGACTCCAGGCCTGGCTGGATGTATGTGGGTGAGTGGGGATAGCAGAGCATGAGCCTTTATTCCTCTCCTCTGCTTGTGCTTCAGGGAAACAGATAAAAGCAAGAAGGAAAGAGCTGAAGAGAATGAGAATGCCGTGGCCGCCCGGGAAGTGCGGGGCCTCCTAGACAACATTGGTGAGCCCCTTTATCCAAGAACAGGCCTGCCTGGGCAAGACATTGAGCCTACCCCTGAAGGTCATGCTGTGTCTCTCACTGGCCCCTAGGGGGCGTGTTCACCTGGGCATCTCATCTGGGAATTTCCTGCCTGCTCAGGGAGCCAGGGCTTTTTGGTGAAAAGCGTTGGACTAACGGTGGTCTTAGCTCCTCTGGTCTGTGCTATACTCTCTCTCAGTCCACACATGCACTACATGCACCCTCACAGGACTTGATCTCAACATAGAGGGCCTTTCTCTCTGTGATTCAGAGAGTTAAAGCCTCTTCACTATGGAGAACCAAGAAAGGAGGTCAGAGAGCAGAGCAGGGCACCCATGCATACCTCCACGAAGGCACCCCAGCAGAGCACTCATATAGCAGAGCATTAGGCAGGAGCACAGATGCCAAGAGCACGTGACCCGTGGCCCTGTTGCTCTCTCACCCACTTTATCCATTATCCCTGCCTGCCTGAGTTTCCTTTCTCACTTGGAAAATGAGGCCAGTAATGAGCTCTTTCAAAGAATGCATCTGATGCAAAACTACACATGGATTTCAAAAAGCTTTTGCGCCCAAACCAGCATCTTTCAATCCGTTTTCCCTGGAGGTTTTTTGAAAGTAACCTTGTAGGAGCTCTTTGCTGAGTCGTGAGAAGTAGTGGAGTTAGGAACAACACCCACTACGCAGCAAGTGCTGTGTTAAGTGCGGGCTGTTACTACCATATTTTTAAAACCTACCAACACTTTTGTTGTGCATACCACCTTTGGGATCTTTTTATCAGCATTGAAATGTGTCTCTAAAACTTCATTTCCTACAGGGTTTAGCGACTACCTTTCTCTTTTCCCTCTTCACTTGCCCCCCTGTGTCCTGGTTGGCCTGGCACCCTCCATGCTCTGAGCCCTCGCCTGCCGTGCAGAGCAGCCTCGGCCCAGGAGCACTCACAGCTGTTGTTGCTTCACAGTTCCAGAGAAGGCCCGCGCTGAACCCCTACAGGTGACAGAGGATCCCAAGCGCAGGAAATACGAGAGCTGCCTGGCCAGCTTCCAGGAGGAGATCGCACAGATCGGGATGGTGAGGTCCTCACTCCGTCGCTCACTCTCCCCACCCACTGCTTCTGGGGTCTCCTCACTGTCCCCCAACCCAGCCACGCAGGCTTCCCAGGCCGATATGATTGGAGTCCTGGTAACCACACGGGAGTGGCTGGTACTCATCCTAAGTGTGACCTGTCTTCTCCATGGGGAAAGGCCTGCTGCTGCCATTACTGCATGGGTGGCCAAGAGTCTGGACTGAGTCAACGCAGAGGGGGGCTGCATGGCAAGAGCCCCAGGGGACTGAAATTGAAGTCCAATCTTTGATTTTCCCATCAGTTCTGTTGCTGACGGCCAGTACCTTTCCCTGCTGTCAGCTCCCAGGCCCCTCCAGAAACTCATCTCTGGTAGCCCTCAAGTCCTGGCACCTTCCCTCTCTGCTCAGAATCACACCTCCCTCATATTCTCCAAGTCTTCCTGGGGCCTGATGTCCCACCCTGGAGCACTGAAAGTGGGCTCTGCAAAAACCTGGACTCATCCCAGCTATTGCTGGCACCCTGCCTGGCCAGTGTCTCTTAGAGGAGGTAGTCCTCTTGTCTCAGCAGGGGATTAGGGGGTGGGGGTCAGGGCCAGGGCCATAACCTAGGCCTCTGACCCATTGCAGGAAATGGAACCTCTCATCTTGGAGACTGGAGGTGGTTTTTTGAAACAACTGTCCGAATCTGAGGAAAGTATCGACCATCTCTTCACGAAGGTGGAAAATGACATCAACTTTGAGAACTACACCTTCCAAGTAGGGCTCTGTTTTCCTGGTTCAGCCTACCCCAGCCACCCACCCTCCTAGCTGGGCCCCTGTGTGACTCTCCTCTGTGCACAGATGCTGTGGGAGCTGTGGGAGAAGGTGACCACATCATTCCTGCAGCAGAAGCAGGGGATAAAGAATCTAGACGAAGCCCTGCACCTGCTGGAGTTCTCCAGGGCTGAGAAAGTGAGTGAGCTGCAGAGGGGGTACCTGATGGCCACCAATCTGCAGTTGCTGGAACTTCCATCTGCTTCCTTCATTGTGAGCACTGACTGATGCCATGTCATTGCCAGTTGAAAAGCGTGCTGACGAAGTATGTAGAGATCTTGGAGAAAACGTCCTACCTCATGAAGTTAGACGTGCAACGGCTGATAGACCAAGAAGCCATGGTGAGAGGTTTGCTAGCACCCAGATGGACACATCCCTCCATCCAGGGTATGGGAGGAGGCACAGCCATCCTCCTAAGGCATCCCCAGCCCATGTCAGGCACAGTGGGACCTCTGCTCTGGAGCATTTCCAGGGAACTCAGTGGGCCACTTGCCTCAAGAGTCAGTCTTTGTTGTTGTAAGCATCTTCAGTGGAACCTTCTCCTGTGACTTGCACAACTCTCCTGACAGTGTTAAAGTGGGCCTGTGCCTAGCACAGGGCTATTGTTTGCACACTGATGCCTTCTTCTGAACCAGATACTCAGACATGGCTTGAGAAAGACATACACACAACACACACACACACACACACACACACACAGAGAGAGAGAGAGAGAGAGAGAGAGAGAGAGAGAGAGAGAGAGAGACAGATGACTGGGAGGAATTCCTGCATCTACTCGCACTCCCACAGCATCCAGGATAAAGCAAGGAACTCAGAACTCAATCCAGATTTTCCACATGGGTGACAGGGACCCAAATATGTGAGCCATCCCTTGCCTCTTCCCAGGGTATGCTGTGGCAAGAAGCTGGAGTTGGGAGCAGAGGCAGAGCTGGGACCCAGGCAGTCTGACATGTGATGCAGACATCCCAAACAGCATCTTAACTGCTGTGCCCAACACCTGCCCCAGCACTGACTGCGCTGTGTGTATCTCCTGGCATGTTTCTCAGTTACTCTGTGTGATGGATCAGTGGCTACACTGTCATTCTTTGGGGACTGTTGTGGTCTCAGGGCAATCCCCGCCCTCCTGAGCAGCTCGTCTGCCCCTGTCTCGGTCTTGCAGCTGCTCTACTCTCTCCTGGGCCTCTTGTCAGTATCTACTACTGAGCCATACCTGCCTCTTGGTTCTTTCCCCACTGCCTCCTCTTACCCACACCTCCAGCCTCCCCCAGCTGCTCTCTTGGGGATGGGAAACGTGAACTTTGCACTTGTTTATGATGTCTTTAAAGTCAGGATACAGCTTGGGCCCTTGGCTATGAGAAAGGAGGACCACTTTTGGCTGCCCAGGGGTACATTTTGTATTTGTGGATTTTCTGGCTGTGGTGTGGCTGAGCTGAGTCTCCTGGCAGCAGTGCAGGCTGAAATGAGTGTAGGTGTTCAGAATCTCAGATGGTACAGCCCACATCTAGATGTGGTGCCCTAGACACAGTGTAGGCACAAGGTTGGCAAGGAGGAATCTAGCCCTCTCTCTCCATGGCCCAGATGTGAAGCTCCCAAAATAACTGCGCTTGCACCTGTAGGGGCCTCCCACCCATTCATGACCATGATACCTGCCAGGACTCAGCAGTGGAAGCTCTCTTGTGGGACAGAGGAGAACACCAAAACTGTAGACGTAGTGTTCCTGGGAGAGTGAGAGCTCTCCACGTTCTGGTTATCTTTCCATGCCTTGCTTTCTGTACTCACTATAGGAACTGGCGCTTGCTACTTGAGCTTGGTGTATTTTGCTCATTTAATCATGCAAATGTTATCACTCTAATTGGCCAGAGTGTGGCTATGGAGCCTGAGCAAACCCCTGTTAGTGTTGCCCAGCCAGGAAGCACAGCTGGCCTCAAACCTCGGTCTCCAATGAAAAGCACTAATGGGGTCTCCATGTGCTGTGCTAGACAGAGTCCCCTTTTCTCCAGCAGGCTTTGGTGGTGTGGGTTGGCATTTGGGGCTATTCCCATGACATAACAGGAACAGGGATGCTGAAGGGCAGAACAGGGCCATACAGTGAAAGCACTGTCCCTCCCTCCCACCAAGGGTGCCCAGGTGACAGTTACTGGGAGATCTGCCTAGAGAATGTTCTAGCTCTGTCCTCATCAGGGCCCTGGGTCCCACTTCTTATTGTCCTTGCATGAGCACTCTGCATTAGGGACAAGTTTATTTTAAAAATGGTGAGCAGCCTGGAGCCCACGGGAATGCTCAATTCCTTTCACCTTGATAAATGATTTCATGCGACCTGGAGCTTGAGCATTGTGTGGTCCACTTATGTGGTTAAGCCTTCCAGGAAGACCCTTGTCACTTGTCCATGGCAGGTCATCCCCCGGCAGCTTCCTTAGCTGCCTACTGACCCCTGGGGGACTCCTCCCAATTTGCCCCATCCCACTCCACTCCTCAGCCTGTACCTACCCAGGGAGCCTCCCAGTCACCCACCACCCCTTTCTTACCATGCCTCATTCTCTATGTGAGAATCTTGCCGAGTTGTAGCCCTGCCTTACCTGTGACCACAGATCATGAACCATGCCCTGCTGGGCAACCGGAGGGCCATTTCCCAGCTGTTCGTCAACCTGATGGAGGCCACCCTACAGCAGGAGCTGGACACCCGCCACCGCTGGCAGGGCCTGGTGGATGCCTGGAAAGCACTCAAGAAGGAGGCCATGCTGCAGGAGTTCAGGTCAGCCTGGCCACCCTGCATGGAATGCGTCTGTCAGGCCAAGGTCACAAAAGCACTGCATACATCCAAAGCACCAGCTGTGGAAGGCCAATGGTGGGGGAGGGGATCGGGGTGGGGCACTGGGGGCAGGAGCAGAGGCTCAGGCAAGGCTTCCAGAGCTGACACGCATCTGTCAGCAGCTCTGTGTGATCTGAGCAGGCACGTGCTATGCTGCAAGGGTTTCGTTGGCCCTTCCCTTCCTTCTTCTTACATGCCACCCACATCCTGCCCTTCAGTGTCCCCGTGGATGGTAGAAGCCCCAGAACTCTGAGCCTTCTACCCTGAGTCACCCTCCCTCTCATGCACCCACCCTCCTCCCCTCCCCCACCTCCCACCTCTCCTCTCCTCTTGTCTCCTTTCCTCTCTGCATGATGCTGTGTCTGGCTGCCCAGTGAGTTCATGGCCAGTGAGAGCATCCAGGCTCCTCCAGCTGTGAAAAAGGAGCTGGATGACCTGCTGGTGACCCAGGAAGTCCTGCAGAAGAAGCGGCTGGAACACCTGTGCTCCATCTGGTACTGGTGGTGTGGGTGAGAGGTCCGGGGGAGTTGGGTTTGAGGGTCCTGTGGAAGGAAGGCCTGTGGGGTCTGTGGGCCATGGCCAGGAGCTTAGACCTTCTCCTGAGGACAGTGAGGTAGCAGAGACTTCGCTAGCTTCAGTGGGTCTGACACTGGAGGCTGGAATGCCAGTGGGGAGGCTGCTGCTATCAGCGGGCATGGGCGCTCTTCCCGCCTGAGAGTCTATGCTCAGCTCTGAACCCATAGCAAAGTTGTTTACTAGGCTGCCCACTGAGAGCTCTGGATCCTGCAGGCCTACAGCCCTGGCACTGTGCAGCTGGTACCCTGAGCAGTGTGGCCCTGCCCCCTGGAGATGCTTCCTGGGTTGTGGAGTGTCCCCTTCTTCCAATCTGGCAGTGCCGTGACACAGGCTCTTCTTATCTGTACCACTCACCCACCTTAGAATCAAAGTACCAGGATATAAATGGCTATTAGGACCCCGTGTGACCTGAGCCATAGGGGTTCCCCAAGGCAGGCACCACCTGCTCCATTCTATCTTGTGATTCAGGTTTACATTAACAAGCCTGAAAAAGCACCTGTGCTGTTTACAATAATTCAACACACTTCTGACTCTGAGTTCCTGGACCAAGTGTGTTGTTTCTTGGTCCCATCCCTTGAGGCACAGTTCTGGACTCTCATTTGGGCTCCAGCTGCCCTCAAACAGTTACATGCCAGCACCTCTAGGAGGCGGCACTGAGCCCCTGAGGTCATGTCCAGGACCCTATCATAGCTGCTCCCACAGTGTCAGCAGGAAGTAGGATTTGGGCAGCAGCAGCCAGGCAAGGCCAGATATGTGGTCCCCAGGACTGTCGATCTAATTGCAGGAATGTCTTTCCCCTCACTCAGGCCCTATGCTCTCCTAAGAAAGGCTTCTCAGAGAGGTGTGTGTGCCACTTTCCTCTCTACCTTGCCCCATGCCTCTCGCAGGCCATGCACACCTGAGGCTGGTCAACCACCCATCCAAAAGGAGGGGAGAGATGCTGACAAGCAATGTATCCACATTTACACTCCTTGCCAGAACTGGGAGACTGTATAACGGCAAGTGCTGACACTGCCACATGACCCGGACAGAGAACAGCAGGGGTTACCCTATGAGTCAGAGGCAGGGTGGGTGCTGACAGGACCATACGACTCCCACAAGGTCCCTGGGTTCCTCTCCTGGGTCACACAAGAGGACAAGGTCACTTGCAAACCTTGACTAGGTCGTGCATGCTAGTGTCCTACTGACCACAGCAATCACATGGCTACACCTGGGTTCCTGGGATGAAGGAACAGACTCCTCCCAGTGGAAGAAGCTAATGAAACTGACCATTGGTCTCTGGGCCACACTGTTTTTCTAAGAGGATTCATGACTTTAGTTAGAAGATATCTATTGTTGGGTATGAAGAGTCTTCCAATAAATTTATATTATGTAGGTTTATGTAAAGTCCTATTAAAGTGAGGGTCTTCACAAGTGTACTTTGCATGTATTTTCTGCTCTTGTCTCAAAGGAAGTTTCTAGCAGTAGGCTTCCTCGGCCAAGTAATAGAAACTGGGAGAAGTCAGCCTTGTGTTCTCAGCAGCAACATGCTCTGTAGTATTAGCATATCTGTCTGTGTTGTGTGTTTCTGGCACCAGGAAGTCCCCGGCAGGTGCCCCTTGGTTCTTCAAGTGCTGGAGACACACCCCTCTTCTAAAAGTACTCACACTTCTCGTGAGTGAGCACTGGCTCACACATGCTTTCCTTCTGTCTGCCTTCCCCAGTGACCTCTTGCCCCCCACTTATAACAAGGACCGCCTGGACGAGTGGCACTCCTCTCTCAACTCCCTGAACAAGCAGCTCGGTGAGTGATGCTGGGAGGCTCTGCTGAGTACAGTCACAGATTCATCATAGGTTGGCTGGGCAGCCAGGTAGGAGGAGCAAGTGGTAGCACCTCCTTGCTAAGGAAGCAGGGATCGGAGACCATAAGCTCTGAGAGCCTTAACTAGGCTTTCCTCCCCTCCCAAGATCTCCCGCAAACTATGTCAGCCATGAACTCTGACCCTGACCCCTGACCCAAGTGTGGAGATAGAGGAATGGCTCCAATGACCGTGGCCCAGGAGCATGGGGGCAAAGCCTGTGGTCTTGCCATCAGGAACAAGGGTTTGACATCCATGGAGCTCTGCTCCATGTCAGCTGTGTGGCCTCAGGACAGTCAGAGCCATCTTATGCCTCAGTTTCCTTCTCTATGAAATGGGGGTGTCAGACAGAGTGATACTGGGGTCTACCTTACAGATGGATGTCCAGGCATGTGGAGGGCCCAGCTAACAGCGAGCATCAAATCATAAGTGGTAGTGCTTTAAAAATGCTCTATAGACTTGGGCATCTCGTCTGGTAGGAGGCCTCTATCCTATATTAGGGTGTCTGGGTTCAGTACCTGGCCCTGGCTTCTGATTTCAGCTTCCCATCAATGCAGACCCTGGGAGGCAGCAGTGATGGCTCAAGTGTTTGGGTCCCTGACACCCACATGGGAGACCCAGATTGAACTCTGCCTAGGGTCACACAGCCAATGAAAGGACACAACTCTTTCTGGCTTGGTTCTTGAGCTCATCACATCCACCAACATGCCTAGTTCTCTCAGAGTGTTTATGTGAGAGCCCTGAGATTCTAGATAATAGCAATGGCTACTGTTGATTCTTCACCTCCTAGGAACAGGCATTTGTACCGGGCCAGGGGCAATCAGCAGCAGGCTCTACCCATGAATGCATCCAGTCCTAAGAAGGCAGATCAAGCAGGACATTAACAACAGGGAGTGGATGGGTTGCCAGCCCTGTGACCCAATGGCCAGGGACCCAGCCTGGGTTAAGTCATGGAAGACTTGACCAAGGAAGTAGCAAGGCAGAAGTGGGAAGAAGCGTTCCAAGCAGGTGTACATTCAAAGGCAAAGCAGAGCTGGGACTCTGGGAAAGAAGGCAGCAGCAAAATAAAAAAAAAAAGGGAGGGGCTGGAGGACGCAAAGGGGCCAGCTACCCTAGGTAGACCTGGGGAGACTGAGCTTCACCCTGGGGCACTGGGAACCCACAATGGGAGCACTGAGGTCAGCACACTGTAAGAGTGGAAGCAGGGAAGTGGGGGGAGAGTCTATCCCTGTGACCCTTCTGAAAGGCTGGGGATGCCTGGCCACGGGCTGGGAGCTTCTTCTGTCTCTGAGCCAGTGCCTGCTAACCCTGTCCAGCATCCTGAACCTATACCCCATTGCCATCTGCTCTGGCCTCCCCCCAGCTCCTGTCACAGAGCCCACAGAATGTGTGTTCTTGCCATGTGCGGTCAGGAGCACGTGACAGCAGATGCTCATCTGAGACATCAGCCACGCTGTTTTCTGTACATCAGGAACAGAGGGAAGGGCTTCCACACATTCTGCTGGAGCAAGTCCTTGAGCTGTTACCCACTCAGGACCTGTGAACACTGTCCATGGGCACCCTCCTGGCTGTGTTAGGGTTTCAGTGCAGCTAAACTGAGTCTAGAATCAGGGTCAGAAATAATCAGAATAGATGGAGAGGAGTCCTTCAGGGTGGGGTGGGAGGGCACTTAAGTTGGGGCATCAGGGACTGCATGAGGAGGAAGCTGAGGGGGCATTACCAATCTGTACCTCAAAAGCCTTGGAGGTACAGGCATTCACTGGGGCATGGAAGGAGGCTGGCACCAGTATGGAGGGGACAGGTCCCTTCTACTCCCTCTCACTGTGCTGACCTATGTGTTGCTTTCTGCCCTCCCATGGAGACACCTACCACATGGAGAGTGGGATGCGGCTCCGTCTACTCTATGAGAAGACCTGGCAGGAATGCCTGGTTCGGGTGCAGGATTGCAAGGTGCGCTCAGAGAGGAGCAAGGGGCTAGGGCTTGATGTGTCCACCAGTCTCCTCCCTAGCATGGATCCCAGCAGCAGCCACTCACTCCCAAGCCTCTGGGCATCTGCCCAGCCCCTCCTCAGCTGACCTAAGCCATCTCTCAGGCACCTCCCTTAGAAAGTTCCCCACCCATGTGAAAGGAAGCCAGGTGCTCTCTGAACCACCTCAGGCTGCACCTGCTCACACTTGGCATTGGGCATTGCTCTTCCATGGGTTATTGCCACCACCCCAAACCCCTTAGATAACACTAACCCTGAGTCCTGCCAAGGTGGGGCGACGCCCAGCCATGGTCTGCAGCCCTGAGCCAGGCCTTGCCACAATGTCATCCCTTCCAGAAGCAGCTACTAGACTGGAAAGCCTTCAGCGAGGCAGAGGCGGAGAGCGTGGTGAGCCCAACCTTCTTCCACATGGTGGGAACGCTCCAGCGAAAGATGGAGAAGAAGCTGGAGCTCTTGGATGTGCGTGCTGGGGACCCTGCAGCCAGGGATGAATGTGCGAGGGGCTTATTCCAGTGCACTGGGCTGTAGGAAACTGGAAGTGAGCAATGGGGCATGCCAACTCGCAAGTCCCCAATATGTCCACTTACTCCAAACCCTCAGAGCAAGCCTCCTGTGATGGTCACTCCCCTGCATCTGATCCCTCCCAGCCTTCTAGATGGGAACTCTAGGGAAGCCCCCTCAAGTCCTGAGAGCTCATGGCTGGCTGACCCTGGGCCTCCAGCCTCAGGATGCTTGTCATCTAATGATAGAGTCTGCACATGTTCCCTGTGAAGGGCCACACGTCACTGCCACAGCCCATGGGTTTGCCCTAGGCAGTGCAGAAGCAAATATGGCTGTGTCCCAGTAGCCTGAGTGACACACTCTGAAACTTAGATTTCATGGAATTCTCACCTCATTATCTTCTTTTGCTTTTCTAAAAAGGTCTTACTTATTTGAAAGGCAGAATGACAGAGTATCTGTTGATTCCATCAGCTGGTTCACTGAACGGTCACAACAGCCAGGGCTGGGCCAGGTTGAAGCCAGGAGCCTGCAACTTCCTTCTGGCCTCTTATGAAGGTGGCAGGTGCCAAAGCACTTCGGTTATCTGTGGCTCCTTTCCCAGGTTCATTAGCAGGGAGTTGGAATGGAAGCAGAAACAGGTGGGATTTAAACAGATTCTCTAGTACCGAATGCTGGCATCCCAAGTGGCAGCTTAATTCACTGTGCTACAATATCAGCTACTTTTTATCCCCACCGCTCAAAAAAATTTCATTTTAAACTGGACAGGTCATGCTCAGGCAAAAGAGCTAAAAAAACAAAACAAAACAAAACAAAACAAAAAAACAAACCCCCCCCCCAAAAAAAAACAACCAGATGCAGGTCTAATTTAGCTTGCTAGCCACAGGTTGCCAGCTTTGGCCCAGGCCAGGGGGAGGTTGGTGGTAGGAGGACTTTAACAGCAGGTGAGGTATCTGGCCCAGGTGTTATGAGTCAGAAAACTCTGAAACCGCAACATGATCCAAGCCAAGGTGCTAATTTCCCACCCAGGTCCCTGGCTGTGGTCTCTCTACAGTTGGTCCTGTCAGTGGCTCCAATGGGATAGAAGACAGGTCTAGAAATGGAAATTTTAGGCCACGCAACCCAGAGACACTATCTTAACAAGAGGGAAAGACAAGGAAACTCAAGTGCAGCCTGGAAGTTGACTTTAAGGGACAGGATCCCGGGGAATGACAGTCCTGGGAGGCCAGGGCCCCTTGAGGCCAGTCGGCCAGTCCCTGAGCCAGTTGGCCCTCCAGGCTCCTACTGTAGACTCTGTCATCACAGAAATCCTTTGAGGCCCTGGCCAAGCAGACAGAGCGGCAGAGTTCAGATCTCTTCAGCTACTTCCAAGAAGCCGTGCAGCTATGGGAGAAGTGCCAGAACACGCTGCTGCAGCAGGAGGTGGAGCTGGAGAAGAGGATGGAGCAGCGGCGGCAGAAGCATAATCAGGAGAGTCAGGTGCAGGCCCTGGGTGCCCCCGAGGAGCCCGAGGGGTGGGCCCTGCCCAACTATAACCAACAACATACCCAGAATAGCTCCTAGGACCCACATCCAACCATAAACTGAAAAACTGATAATGATTCAGATGGAAGTAGTGGCCATCCCCACCAGAGAACCATGCCAGCTACATGGTGGGACCCTGGGAAGAGGGAGGTACGTCTCCCCTTTGGGAGAAGGTGGTTTGACCTTGACATAGCAGAGGTTGCAAGGAAGTGTAAAGTCCCACCCCCTGCTGGAGGGTCGTACTGGCCAGACATCTGAGCTCCTTCTGGCTGCCGTGTGGAAGCGGCTGTAGAGAGAGTTGCCCTGGCCCAGGCTCTCAGGGTGTTTGTTGGTAAAGGCTTGGATTTGCTGATTTGCTGTCACATCCACAAAAGAAGAGAAGAAACCAACTCCAAGTTCTCCCATCTGGGGTCTGCTAAGGCTTCACGTTCTAGAAGGTGTGAGGGACTGACACCTCAAGTTCCTGTTACAGTGAAACACACATCATTCCTGTAGCAAGCTGCGTCAAGGTTGAAAATCATATCAGATAATGGGGAAATGTACATCTGGTAGGTCCCAGACCCTTGCCTGCCAGGAGATTGGCTGCCTCCCAGCACACAGTCTAGGGAGTGCTGATCAGTATGACTGGTGAGAAGAAAAGCAAGAAGCAGGGCTTCCAAAAGCCATAGCATGGGGCCTCACTAGGTGGGCATGTGAGAGGGTGCTGTCCCTGGGAAATCCCTCCTGAGTCAGATGCCCGCAGTTGTGCTCAACAGAGAACATTCCAGACACGAGGAAGAGCCTGAAGGGAGGCTCAATGTGCAAAGACGAGAGGGCACTGGCAGATTTGCAGCACCTTCTGTAAGAAAGGATGCCCGCCCCCCCTGCCCCGACCTGCCCTAGGTTCCAGAGGTAGGAGAGTCTTCACGTCCCTTGGCTCCCTAGCACTCAACAGTTCAGCTCATGTCAGCTTCTTCTTTTTTCCGGGGGGTGGCTGCCAGTCCCAGGAAGCTCACCTCGATAGGCTCGTGGACCAACTGAGGCAGCAAAGCCATGAAGAAACATTGAAGATATACCTGAACAAGGCCAGGCATTGTCTAAAGACCATGAAATCCAGGTAGGCTGGCCAGACCCCAAAAGACAGGATGAAAGCAGCCTGCAATTCAGAGTTAAGGTCTCAGGCAACCTATCCAGGAATCCTAGAGTTCTTGAAGGAATTCAAAGGCCAAGAACTCAGGCCGCTCCCCCCCTTTTAAATATTTATTTATGTTTATTGGAAAGGCAGTTTTACACAGAGAAGGACAGGCAGAGAGAAAGATCTTCCATCTGCTGGTTCACTTCCCAGGTGGCTGCAACAGCTGTTGCTCAGCCGATCCAAAGCCAGGAGCCAGGAGCTTCTTCTAGGTTTCCATGCAGGTACAGGAAGCCAAGGCTTTGGGTCAACCTCCACTGTTTTCCCAGGCCACAAGCAGGGAGCTGGACGGGGATTGGAGCAGCCAGGACATGATCTGGCACCCCATGGGATTCTGGCACATGTAAGGCAAGGATTTAGCCACTAGTACGTCATGCCGGTCCCTAGGTCTGCCTTCTTAAAACTTAAATATAATTGTTCTTTGTTAAAAGGAAAGGTGGGGTGGAGTAAACCACTACAAACCGAGATTTTTGTCCTCCTTTCTTCCCAGCTTTCTTTTCATCAGCATCACGTGTCCATCCATGAGCATATAGACCTACATACATCGAGTTTTTAAAATAAAGGTTAAGTTATACCATACACATTATTCTTTAGCTGCAGACACATTAAACTTTTTCAAAGGCCATATAGCATCTGTTAAAACAGTTCATCGAGATTTAACTATCCCCTCCCTAACTGGCTTTTTTTTCAATTTGTTCTAATTTGTCAACCGTGTTTCAGTTTTCTGTAAATTTCCTTGGCTCTTGTCTCTGTACCACTGATTTATTCTATTAGGGCACTCAGAAACAGTACTGCACTGCCAATCAACTCTAGTACTTAAATTCAGAAGCAGAACTTTAGGCAAGTAAGCAATTCCTGGGGCCTTCGCCTCCTTACCTGAGAAATAGACAGGAAGCTGGGCTTGCAGGTGGTTGGGGTTTGTGGGGATAATGCAGATCAAGTTCAGGAGATAGTGGATAGGAAGAGGGAAGCCACATTGTGATTAGCAGAACACTATCTCATGTGTATTTGTCTTTTGTGTTTTGCTTTGTTTGTTTGGCAACGAAAAAGGAGTAATAGGAAGGATTGTTGTGTCAGGAAGCGTAGACAGAGCTGCTCTTCTGCAGATCTAACACCTAGATGGCATCCCACCTCCTGGGGAGCAAGAGTCTGGGGTCCACCAAGTTCAGCTGAGCTCCACTTTTGGTCTCCCCTCACTCCCTCCCTCCCCACCAGGTACAAATGTTTTCACAACCTCCTGACAAAGGAAGTGATGGCCTACCCAAGGATCATACTGAAAGAGCTCAATTCCTACAGCTCCAAACTCAGCCAACACTTCTTCGTCCGGGAAGTCTTTGAACAGGTATGGAGACAGATCTGGTACACTTAGCGACTCACAAAGGAAGCAAATAGAAGGAGGCAACTTCTCGTTTTCATGGGGATGTCAAAACTACACTACCCTGTAGAGTTCATGTCCAGAGCAGGACATCAGGCAGAAAGAGGCTGGCAGACTGTTTTAAGAGTCTGTCTCACCCTCTGTTTAGAAGAGTTTGAAAGACTCCAAACTCAGGGTTCAAGGACAGCTGGGCTTACAATAACAAGTCTAATGTGTATGGCATTGTGTGTTCCATTCTTTGCACCCATCCCCACCAACATGATTCTCCCCAAACACACCTCTGACACTGTCCTCCTCCTCACTGACTCTATAGCCCCTGGGTGACCACTCTGCTTCCCGCCTTGGTGCTCCTTGATTCATCCTACTTCTAACACATATCCCCTGTTTGCTGCTTCTCCTTCACCATGCTTTCTCTGTGGGAGTTCTCCTCTCTTGACATCCCAAATCCACCCAGACTCACAGTCTACTACCAAGGGTCCCAGCCATGCAATCCTGGCTCCTGCTCTCCTCTTCCTCACTCCCTATTATATCTCTGGTCTCTGAACTTGCTTGTACTTGGTCGCAGGAACACTCAACTTGATGAACACCCAACCTGCAGGTGTTTCCTGAAGGACCAATATGTTTTACTCAGCCATATTCAACTTCATCTGCTCTTAGCCCACGATCTGGTGCATATAATCCAGACATGACCCTGTGTCAGGACAGCCGTTCCTGTAACATCTGGGTTTCAATCCTCAAGTTTGACCATTTCTCCCTCACACCCATCAAGAATCCCATGTGACCAATGTGTAAATGCCTTGAGTTGGCTCAGAAGCTGGCCAAGGATTTCCTACCTAGAAGGGAGACTCAGCTCTGTTCCAGAGATGAACTGTCCTGGGAAGGGATCCCAGCTCAGACTGCCAGTGCAGGCTGCCTGTAACACCTGGGGTGAAGTAGAGACTAAGATGCAGGAGAGTGAGCTCACTGTCTACCCTTTGAGATTATTTAACTAATTTGCCCAGGTTCAGCATGGGCATCATGATGGCCCTCATTTCCCCAAACCCCATGAAGCTGAAAGAACTTGCTTTGGGTTGTTCAGTTGTGGGACTGAAGTCCACACTGCTACTCATTACATGAAATGTTGCCAGTTTTCACTCGCAGCCTGTAGGACAGGGGCATGGAATGGTTCACAAAAACCCTCCCCAAACCACACACACACACACACACACACACACACACAAAATCTGTATTCTCTCTGTCTCTACCCAGCACCCTGTGCAGTGGGTTCCTGTCACTTCTTTGCATCCCTCAACTGATACCTGTCTTACCCTATAAAACCATATCAGCCTGAACTTTTATTCCATCATTGCCCCTGGCATGCTGGAAAGGTTTGCTCCTGCACTTGGGTTGAAGAAAAACCAGTTTCCTAGATGGGGGGGGGGGCTCTGATTATTTGCAGTGAAATCAGATGATCAAAGCCAACAGCAGCTATTGAAGGACTGGGCAATGACTTATCAGTCACTTTGTGTGTGTGTGTGTGTGTGTGTGTGTGTGTGTGTGTGTGTGTGTGTGTATTCTTTCTCCCCCTTTGTAGAACTTGGCTGGAGAAGTCATTTTCAAGGTCAGGGAACCAGGTAACTAAACACAAGTCCTATCCAGTTCCCCCACCTTCACTCTTGCGTTTCTGTGCATTGGGTGGGAGGCCCCATTCAGGCAGCACTGGTAACCCATGTGTTCATCCCTCTGTCCCTGGCACTGGCGGCCACCAGGAGCCCATGAGAAGCTCTTCATGAAGAGAAAGAGAAGACTGTGGATGAAGCTAATGGCAAGCAAGGAACCAAATGCAGGAGAGGAAAGCAAAAGGCAAGTGGCAAGTCCTGAGAAGCCAGTGGAAGAGCTGGAGGAGGAGGTCCTGGAAGTGGCGTCCTCTGTCACCGAGGAGGCACAGAGCCCACAGCAGAAGTCTGGCCTGAGTGATGCTGTGGATGAGTCTGGGGAGGACTCTGTGAGAGAAGCAGAGGAAACACAGGTTGAGCGGGAAGCAAACTCACCCCCAGGCCAGGAAAAAGAGAAGCTTCCAGAAAAAAAACAGAATGAGGCAGATGAAGAGGAAGAGGAAGAAGAAGAGGAGGAGGAGGAGGCATTAGTGGAGGAAGAGGAGAATGAACAAGAGGAAGGAGTGCAGGAAGAGTATGAGAGCTTATTGGTGGAAGAGGTAGGTAGCAGCTGTCTTGTTCCTGGGGTGTAGAAAGGTTACTGTGCTGGTCCCTTGCCTTGTCTCAAGCCTGAGCTGGCTCCTCGACAGTCGGTGCCCACGGAGGTAGACAGACCACTACCAAAGCACCCAGCCCATCGTAGGTTTGTTGTTGGGCATCGTACCCTTCTCAACAACATTTTCCCAGCTGCCATCCCAGCACCCTGCTCTGCTGTTGCCCGGCCATCACATGCTTTCCTCTTGCCTTTCTGCTTCGCCCACGTTCTCAGCTCCTCTCCGTAAGTCCCTGCTGAACCCCAGTGCATCCGTCCCTCCTCGCACCCTCTCTGTTTTCAAGTTGTGGGTCACCCAAAGGGCCATCTGTGAGCTATCTGGCTGATCCCCACCATGTATATAGAGAGAATGGCTTCCATCTTAATCATTTTCATCCCTGTAATTCACCAGTCACTTGAATTCTACCATGACAGAATTGCAAAAGCCCTCATTCTTAACCTGCGACAGAATTGATCTGTGAGGCTTCTTTCTGAGAGGGGAACCTAAAGTCAAACACCCCGTGGGTACAAGATAGAAAAGGGGGCTGGAAAGTATGGGATCTTGTGGAAAAGGGTGAATATTGTAAACAGCCACGATTCAACCCTAGGCAAAGGGCTGGATGGGAATAAAAGCTGCACGTTGACATATTTTCTGATGTTTAAATAAAAATCAGAAACCGGGGTTCTGGCATGTAAGTTCCCAATTCCAAAAGTGTTGTGTGGGAACAGATCTAAAATAGTTGTCAGAAAGACTGCCCCACAGGTTCGCTGTTGGTGATGTCAGCAAGCACAGTCTGCATCCCACAGGTTCATCTGAAGATGTCCTGTCAGAGTCTTGTCCTTGAGATCGGCACTGTGGAGCAGTGGGTTAAGCTGTTCCTCTGGATGTCAGCATCCCCCCTAAGCGTGCCAGCTTGAGCCCTGGCTGCTCTGCTTCCAATCCAGGTCCCTGTCAAGCACACGAGAGACTCAGAGGAAGCTCCAGGCTCCTGGTGCTCCTGGTTTTGGGCTGACCCATCCCTGTATATCGTAGTCATTTAGTGAGTGAACAGTGGATGGAAGACTCTTTTGTCCCTCTTTGCCTTTTAAATAAATTTTAAGGGCCCGGCGCGGTGGCGCAAGTGGTTAAAGGTCCTCGCCTTGCACGCCCGGGATCCCATATGGGCGCCGGTTCTAATCCCGGCAGCCCCGCTTCCCTTCCAGCTCCCTGCCTGTGGCCTGGGAAAGCAGCAGAGGACGGCCCAAGGCTTTGGGAACCTGCACCCGCGTGGGAGACCCGGAAGAGGCTCCTGGCTTCGGACTGGCATAGTATCGGCCCGTTGCGCTCACTTGGGGAGTGAATCATCGGACGGAAGATCTTCCTCTCTGTCTCTCCTCTCTGTATATCCGCCTTTCCAATGAAAAAATAATAAAAATAAATCTTTAAAAAAAAAATAAATTTAAAAAAAATAAAATCTAAAAACAAGCAAACAAATGCCTTGTTACTTGCTCAGGCTGAGGACAAGGAAGGCAGTGCTGAGGAAATGCCCTGCAAAGATCTGGAGTCCTTTACTACCGCCAGTGGAAACACATACTTCCTGTTCGTGTCTCTGGAGGAGGAAGAACAAAGCTGTCAGAAGCCCCACTCCAACTTCTTAGCCAGGCTCATCAATGACACTTCCAGCACCAAGTTCATAGAACAAGTGATCATTCCATCCCAGCTAATCTTAGAGATTAAGAAACAGTGAGTAGAAAATCCTTTTATTCTCCTTCTCTTGCTCTGAGATTACTCAACAAGATGATATATCAAAAAAATGATCTAGTTTCACCTCAAGAAAAATTGTCAGTAACTGCAGGAGGGTTTGAGGTGAAAAAAACAGCCAATTACAAAAAAATGTTGAGAAAGAATTTGCAGTCACTGATACCCTAATGCTACCCTAATATACCCTAAGAGAGAGAGAGAGACAGTCTGCTGTGTCTAACGCCCTGCTGGCCTGGAACTAGTGCATAGTGAGGGGGATCTCCAGGCACTTCTGGGTCCTGTCTGGGGCATTCATGATCAAAGAGTTTCAATTGTTTTTAAATCATAGGAACACATATATCAAGCATTGAATTTTGCACTAATGACATGACACATTCATTACATAAGACAGAAACCCATGAAGAGTAAAGAAATGGTCTGTAATCTTGCCCCTCACAAATTCCCCTTCCCTAGCTGCCAAGTTTCTAGACCTTTGTGTTAGAACTGGAGCAAGTGTGGGGATTTGCATTAGGTTTTGAAAGGCACTTTCCTTGCTTTCCTGCCTGCATAAAGGCATGGTAGGACTCGACAACTGCAGAGTCTCTGGCTTATCCACCTCCTATGTTAACGTATGGACAGGAGACCAGAGACACAGGTTTCAGGAAAATACCTTGATCCCAATACCATCTGTTCCTTTGGTCTACCACAAACCATTGTCTGTCCTCTCCATCTATGGCTCACAGGACAGATGTCCACAAGGCCCACCATAAGAGCTGTCCTTTACCAAGAGTATTTAATCTGCTTCATGACAGTTAACCCCACTTTATAGATGTACTCACCAAAGCTTAGATAATTAGTCATTTAGCCAAGATCTCCAAGACAGGAAGCATTTAGCTCCAAGATGTGAGTATATCCTGTAATACCAGAGTCTTACAGCAAGCACTGTGCCATCCAGCTTATGACTAAGCAGGGGAAAGTTCTGTGTCTGGCTGACTGAGTTTGGGTGTTGAAGGAAAGCATACAGATCCAACAATATACTGGTCCTAAATATAAATACCTCCATGAATTTTACAAGGGGGACACATCTGGTACCCAGGACTCACAAAAAGGAACAAGAAAATGTTTAAAATGAAGGCATGATAAGTTGAGAAATAATATTTCTGATTCATATCAAAGTCAATGGTCCTCATTATATATAGAGTTCCTATGACTTGATAATTTCTAAAAACATCCAATTACCCAATAGAGAAATGGGCAAGAAGCATTCATGGAGAGTATACAAAGAAATTAAGTGGTCTTCAACACATAGAAATTGGCTCAGTCTTCAACCCAACCTGACAAAACTACCGAATGTAAACATTTGAAGATTGAATAGGGATGCGAATGCCCATTGCCCATCTCACTGCTCCACCCCACCCCAGGGAAGAGCTTGGTAACACCTATCAGAACCACAGACTTGTGGAAGTACTCCCAAAAAATTTGTGGGAAACAGGAAATCAAAGTTTTACTTTTGTGCAAAATATTTGAGATCCATTCATGATTTCTTTTTTCACCATACACATTTTTCTGTGAGCTTTCTTGAGAATGTATTGTACTTTAACCATAGATCTGGGGTACTTTTCCTGAAAAAACACCTCTCCCCTTGACCTGGGCACAAGGTTGTTCTTTGCAGCCTTTCTAAAATATTCAAAAGTACCTGGAGCCCTTCAGCAGGAGCAATGACCCATTTCACACCAATGAGATGCAAGTAAAACCAGGAAAAAGAAGTGAAGCACTGTGGGTCTGGGCCTGGAGTGATCTCCCACTGGTCACGATTTGTTGGCTGGGCTGACCTTCACTATTCTCTCCTGCAGACTTCGAACCGGCTTCTTCGAGCACCTTGAGAAGTGGTTTGACCAGTGTTCCCTCAACGCTCAGATCATGGTGGCCACCAAGATTGACAGTCTGGATTCCGAACTGGAGCTGCGCCTGCACCTGCACCAGCCGAGGTTCCAGCACATTGAGAAGGACATCCACAATGTCAGGGCAGGTAGGGCCACCTTCTCTGGGAAGGCCCACCCCACCTAGGACCCTTCCTCCAGCGTCTGCCACTACCTGGGTTTGTACTCTGCAACACTGAGCATGTCATCATCACACAGCCAAAGATGTACGTGAGAGTCTGTGCCTCCCAGGCTTGTAGATAAAAAGCAGTGCTCACACTCCTGATTGGAGATTTTTTTTTTTTTTAATTTGCTGTTTTAGCTCTCTGGGAGTCCAGTTCTGCCACACACCTGTCTGGTGGCTGCCCTAGAGGCAAGCCCTTGGCTCAGGCATCAGAGCTGTCAAGCTCAACCTTCTCTGGTTGTGTGACTCAGGGCAGATTCCCTGCTCACTCCCTTACCTGCAGAAGGGTGTGTTGGAAGTGATAACTCAGGAGGCTGAGACAGAAGGTACAGCCCTGCCAAAGGTGGTAGCCTTTTGTCCCTATTAGTATGCAGCCATTTTTTTCTGCGGTGGTGGCCTCTGTTAACAGCAAGGTAGAGAGTACACATCAGTAGTAGCCTTCAATGATCCCAGTTGGTTTTTCACTCGGATCGTGTTCCAAGCTCCATTAGAGAGTCCCACACAATTCCAGCCAAACCTCCATTCCACACAGCAATGAAGATGCCACACAAGTAACCCCTGACCTGAAAGGCTGCTTCCGTTTGGGCCCCAGACTCTCTGGCCATTCAGAGCACCACGTGCAAACAGCTCAGAGAGATGATTTCCAACATCACACCACTCATTCTTGGCCAGCACTTCTGTCACTGCAGACAGCAGAGGTCAAATGGGGGATCTGGAACTTGGCTCCCACCTAAAGCCTATGATGGGCCCTGGATGCCCAGTGCTGACTCCTCCTCCTCTATCCTGGAAGCTGGTCTACATCTGGGCTGTGTTGTTGTCCCCCCCGCCCCCCCCCCGGGACCTCTCCTTGCATCTCAGGTCCCCTGCTCCCTGCAGCTCCTTGGAATGCTCCATCTCCCCAGCTGTGTCCTTGCTGCTGCAGGCAGTGGTCTCTATGAGCAGTGAGACTGTGGCACTGGCTCCCCAGTGGCCACTCTGAGGTCAAAGCCTAGTAGCTGGCCCTGGTGGGTAGACTTTGTTCTAGAAGTCCACAAGATGATGGGGCTCAGGGTAGCTGGGGTGCCATCTTCTTCCAGCTGAGCTGTTGCTTCACCAAGAGCGCCTGAATCGCCACTGTGCTGGTGTTATGGAAATGCTGAAGAAGGAGAACCTCATGTTCTTCCAATTCCAAGAAGAGCAAAACACCAGGAGCAGAATCTTCCGCCGCCGGATCTATGACATGGAGCATATCTTCCTGAATGCCAGTAGGAGCCAAAAGTAAGACATGAGTTCTCTCCCTAGGAGTCCAGCCAGGCTGCTACTTTCAGGGGGTACAGAGGGCACCCCAGAAGCCCTCCTTGGACTAATCCGTTTCCCACAAGAGCCAGAGCCAAACTCCGTAAGTAGCCACAAAGAGGAAAAGACACATGTGACCAGCATACAAGGGTTCAAGCAAGGAACCCAGCAACATCCATGATGGGAAAGGACCACCTCATGGGGAAATTGGGAGGGGTTTCCTGCAAGAGGATGCCTTTGGGTTGAACCCAGAGGCAGTGCCCTGGCTTGTGATGGAGGGCATGGAAGGAGATTGAGTTCTGCCAATGGAGAAGAGGCAGAGGAGGAGCCCAGTAAAGCCATCCCAGATGGAAGATCTCAGTCAGGTTTCAGGGAGGAGCGAGATGTGTCTGAGCAGACTTCAGGTACCCAAGGAGCAGCTGGGCATCAGGGTCTTAGGGCTGGCAGAGCTGTCATGCAGGAGAGCACTGCCAAGTAGCCATGGTCAGAGTGTGCCCTTTGCAGGAAGGAAAAGGATCCAGCAGGGTCTGGGGTTCTTTTGCCAACTGGATGGTAGCACTTAGACAGGAAGGACACCCCTTCTGATCCAGCACCCCTAGGTGACACACCATGTCCTTCTAGGATCTCCAGACCACCTGGAGAAGCTGGACAGTGGCTTGGGCATCCCACATGGAGTCCAAACAGCATTGTGGGATGCCCACCCAGGCATGCCTGCAACACCTGCCCTCTTGTATCCCCCAGGCTGGTTGCACTGAGCAGCACTCTGCACCAGGAGCTCCTCAGCTATGTCGATGTCATCCAAGTGTCCCTGCGTAGCTTCCGGCAGTACCTAGAGGAGAATCTGGGCAAACTCCGCTGCACCAACATTGAGTTCATCAAGCACTGCAGGTGGGAACTAGCAGCCCGGTATCTGCTAGACCCCTGGGATTTCTCTCCTGGGAGCTGAACCTGTTCCCCACTCCATGTTGATTGCGGCAAATACATAGATAACAAAATCTATGATAACATAGATAACAAATACCTAGATTACAAAATACGTAGAGAACAAAATCTACAATTTGAGGTGTGCAGTCCACTGGCATTGAATACCTTCTTATCAATGCGCCACTGTCTCCCTCATCAATCTCCAGAACTTTTTCATCTTTCCAGTCTGAGACTATGAATCATTGAACAGGCTCTCCATGTCTTTCCACTCTCAGCCCCTTGCTACCACCCTTTTCTTTTCTCTATGAATTTGACTACTGTAGGAACCTCATAAAAATGGACTCAGATGAGGTCCTGGTGTGTTTCACTAGCCATGAGGTCCTCAGGGTCCATCCATGTCATAGTGTGTATCTGGGCTTGTTTCCCTGCTTAAGGCTGAAAAGGATTCCATTGTTCAGGTGTACCTTGTGTGTATCCATTCCTATGTCTGTGAGCATTTGAGCCATGTTCACCTGCTTGCTGTTGTGAATCATGGTAGCAGGAACATGGGTGTATCGGCACCTGTTCAAGGCCCAGCTCTCAATTCTTTGTGGGTATAGACTAGGAAGTGGGGGTGCTGCATCATATGGAAAGTGCAGTTGTTATTTGAGGGACTCTAGCACACCGTTGTGGCTTCCCACCAGTTATGTGCCAGGGTTTTGGCGCCTCTACATTCTCAGCAACCCTTCTCATCCTCCATTTTCTGATAGCAGCTTTCCTGGTGGGCTGGAGACAGGGTCATGCCACACTAATGCTTTGTGTTTGCCCACTGGTGTCTGGTGTGGAGCACCTTCTCAAGTGTGTCTTGGCCACTCCTTCCCCATCACTTCTCTCTCATTCTTCCCACCCTCTAAAGGAATATGCCGTCTATGAGACTATATTCATATTTTAAAAAGCTTGTTTTCATTTCTAAAAATCACAAGTTGTTTCCTTAATTATATAGCACAAACGCAGAGGTGTGTAAAGTAAAAAGTGAAATCCCTCCAAGAATCATGTTTCCTATATAATATACTTCCATAAACAAAAACAAATGAGTTTTGAACAGAAATGAAATCCTCATACCCATGCTGACCCATGGGCCCCATCTCCACCCATAGGTCACGGGAGCACCTTCCCTGTCAAGGCCCACCTTTGTTTTATTTATCATTGAAAATATTATGGCTGTGTAAATAACATTTTTAGGCAAATTTGGAAATTAACCCAAAGTCAAGCTATAGTTTAACGTACAAGTTATGCAACTCTATATTACATACCTCTGCCTCTTCCTTCCTTATTTTGGCTTCATTTAGCTGTTTTCATTGTCCTTCCTTTTTACTAATTCCCCCCTGTAACTGTTTAAGCTCCTGGTAAATGTTTTCACTGATGCTTTAATTTTAGTGATTAGACTTGCCATTCCTGGATATGTTTGATTCTTTTTTCAAAACCATCTGTTCTTCAATCATGTTTTTAAAGTATATCTCTTCTATGTCTGTAAGCATCTTGGATTGTGGCCTACACTGAGCCATTCTATTGTCTGAGCTCTGTGTGGCTGGTGCTCATGCATGACATCTTGCTTCCTTGTGAATTTCTTCACTGTGAAGCCCTTATTTTCCTTGGGATTTTACTGGTGGCACTCTTTGAGGCCTAGAGTGACATTATGTTTCTTCAGAGGCTTTAAAAAATATTCATTGAAATGCAGAGAGGGAGAGAATTTTTCATCTGCTGGTTCTCTCCTTAAATGCCTGTGGTTATGGGGGCTGGTGTGGCCTAAAGCCAGAAGACAGGAACTCTATCTGGATCCCCCGTGAGGGTAGCAGGATCCCAACTACTTGGTCCCTCATCTGCTGCCTGCCACGTACATTAACAGGAAGCTGTGTCTGGAATGTGGAGTAGCCACACTCCAACCAGCACTCCAGCATGGGACATGGACATTCTGGGCAGCTGCTTAGCCCACTGCACCACAGTGTCCAGCCCAGACAGAATTCAGATTTTTTTTTTCTACTGAGCAGCAGGAGGGCACTGCCTGCCTAGCCAATGAAAGTTCTTTGCTTGAAGTTTTCTGGATTGCTTCAGAGAACATGCCTGCAGTATATAAATGTGGGTAAAGGCCAGTGTGTAGTTAGGATAAGCTTCCTTCACTGCCTGCCCTGGGATCTGGGCAGGTCAATCTCCTGTCCTCTGGCAGGGCTCATGTCTGGCTCAGCCTCATACTGAAGGTGGTGTCCTCTGGATCCACTGTGTCATCAAGGTGGAGGATGTTCAATGTCAATGCCTGTTCTGTTCTCCAAGGAATATCTAGTTTCATTTCAGAATACTTCTCTTCATATAGTCCCACAAATACTATTTTGATTTTTAAATTTGGTCCACCGTCTTGCTTATTCTATTCAATCTGACTAACCGACCTAAAAGAGGAAATTTCATGGCACTTGGGAATCCTCGCTTCCACCCCCAATTGCCTGCATAGCTTCTGTTACCACCTGGCTGTGAAGCCTAGGTCACACACACATGTGTGTGCTAACCCCAGTGCCCGGGAGTCATGCGAATGATCAGGTCTGCTTGGTGGTTCTTAGCTCTTCCCCTACTGTTCTCAGATTGTTTTCAGAAGGAGGAAACTTTTCTTCTGAAGAAATTGACTTACTGTTCCGCCGGCTGGAGAAGGAGGCTGCCCGCATAGAGTTTGTTGAAAGCTTAATTGCAATCAATATGGAGAAGATGGAGAGCGAGTACCTGGACCAGGTTGGGGAGCCCAGGATGACTAGTTTCAGATGGTCCCCACCTAGGGGGGAAGCGGTGTCCATCTCCAACCATTAGTGGAACTGTCCCCTTCCTCTTCAAAAACCAGAGACCCAAATTAAGCACCTCCTGCTTTTCTTTTCATCTTTCACTACAGGCCAATGATGTCATCAACAAATTTGAAAGTAAATTTCACAACCTATCTGTGGACCTTATTTTCTTAGAGAAAATCCAGCGATTGATAACGAATCTGCAGGTGAACATAAAATGCCAGGTAGGACGGAATTGCTATGTTCCCAAAAAGTCTTCCTCTTTCTCTCTCTCTCTCTCTCACACACACACACACACACACACACACACACATACACACACGTCTGCACACTGGGTACTGTCCCAGCTCCACGCATGGGATTTGTTCTAGGCCAGCAAGATTAAATATATCAGTAGCTACTAACAGTTGCACAACACACTGTGTATTGTGCGCGCCTATTTATTTTTATGAATAACCTTAGTCCCTACTCTTTGGCACAAGTACTGTGTTTGCACCCCATTTGATGGAGATGGAGAAACTGAGGCAGAGAAGAATTCAGTGGCTTAGATATGGTGCAGCTAGAATATGAATGAGCCCAGGTATGGCCAACTCTAGACCTTGTGAGTGAACCAGAAACAGGCATGAGCTCAACAAAGGAAGAGAGCCCTGCAGAGAATGTGTGGGTCCAGGGCAAAATCTAACTAGGTAGAAGCAGGGGCCTGGCAGATAGGAGGCATCCTAGAGAGGTGAAGGGGAAACCAAGGTTAACTGTGCCCAATGAGTGTTAGCAGCAGGGAGACCGAGTGGAGCACTGTGAATGGGTCTGGGCAGACCACAGGGGACCCCAGCAGTGCTGGACATTGCGTTCCAGGAAAGCTGGAAGTGAGTAGGAAGGAGGGAGGTGGAGGTGCAAGGCTGGGGCTGGGGTAGGCAATGGCAGGCCCAGGTTCCAGTTGCAGAACTAAAGGGTTGGTCTCTGGGCACATGCCACGAAGGATCTGAACTGTCCACTTGAGATCAGGACACCATCCAGGGAACAATGTCTGAGGACCCGCTTAGGGCTAGGACCAGGCAAACCCAGGAGGCCAGTCCTGTCTTCTGGAAGTGGCAGGTGCCTCCCAGTAAGAGGAGAGACTGCTGAGGTCTCAGGTTGTCAAACAGAAATTCAGCCCCTGCTCCCTGCCCCTGGGGCCCTAGGAATTAAGGAATTTACTCATCTGTGAAATGGGAATGAGAAGAGCAGACAGTAAGATAATGGCATTGGTGAATGAGTTAATGTGTGCCAATTCTTGAGCCCATTACCTGGTGCACAGTGCAATCTTCACACAAGCAAGGTCTGTGACAGAGCCTCAGGAAACCCTCTCAGTGCAGGTGTCAGATGTTCTAGAAGGAAAGAAGGGGCAGCTCAGTGAACTGAGTCCTGGGTTCCAGGATCCACCACCCTCCTATCAAGTAAAACTAATGGGTCTCCAGCTGCTATGGTATACCTCCACTCTCTGAGACTGGTCCCAGCATGCAAAAAGCTGCACTTTGTAACTTTTCAATTTTTGTTTTTTGTTAGAAAGGCAGATTTACAGAAAGAAGGAGAGACAGAGAGAAAGATCTTCTGTCCACTGATTCATTCCCCAAGTGGCTGCAGTGGCCAAGCTGAGCTGATCTGAAGCCAGGAGCCTGGTACTTCTTCTGGGACTCCCACATAGGTGCAGGGTCCCAAGGCTTTGGGCCATCCTCCACTGCTTTCCCAGCCCACAAGCAGGAAGCTGGAAAGGCAGTGGAGCAGCCAGGACATGAACTGACGCCCAAATGGGATCCCGGTGGTTGCAAGGTAAGGATTTTGCAATTAGTCTACTGCACCAGGCATTTTGTTTGCATTTTTAATATGCAATAGTTACAATGATGAACAAAATCCATTACCATCAGAAAAATACATAGTGCATGCAAAAAGGAGGGTTTAACCCAAACTCCTGCACATAGCCGTGGCTTCCATTTTAGGGCTGGAATGATGCATGAGCTTTTTCCTGTGCATGAAAGTGACATGAAATGAAAATTGGCCTCTTGCTATCCATACAATTGCATAAGCCAAAAAAAAAAATCACATAGGCTAGGGAGCCTTTAAAGATTCTTCAAAAACACCATGTTGGTTGGTTACTGTTTGTACACGAAGGTTCCATGATGAAGTGAGTGGATGCCACTTCTTGCTATGGCACCCAGCCCTGTGAGAAATGTTCCTGCCTGGGAGACTGAGGGGTCTCCTGAGAACTGGGTGCCAGGCCAGAGGCCGGAGGACCCAGGGCTCTCACGCTTTCTAGTAGTTTCTACCAAGCTTGTGCTGTGGCTGTAGCAGAGGAGCCCATCCTTCATCCAAGTCCCTGAGCACACTCCGGGGTACCAGTTTCATCTAACCCTTAAATCTTTGATCAGGACCAGTGGCTGGGGATGGGAAGGAGGGTCAGTAAGTGGAATCTTTAATTTATATCTGTCTAGTTTCTGATAAAATGAGGCATTTCCCCCGATTTGGTTTCTTCAGTGCTTCAAAGGTTTCTCACATAACATGTTTTGCTGAATATTTTGCTGATCACACCAAGTATTCTAGAAAGAAAAAACTCCAAACCTCTGTTTCTTCTAGGTGGCGAAATCCAACTTGCAAACAGATAGGTTGAATTATTCTCTGGAACAGCTGGAACGCAAGATAGAAAGTTGCCAGAACTCCAAGGGAGACAAAACAGTAAGGATGCTCCATGGGAAGTCAGGATGCGTAGGTACCAGATTCCTGACCTGGAGACACAGTGACAGCTGGGTGCAGGACAGAGCCCAGGAGGAGCTCTCTGAGTCTCCCTGCCTAGTTCCTATGTTACTCAGTGAGGAAAGGAAGGGAGCAGCCACCACCACCCTTGTCTCCCTGGCCCCATGCAGAGTCTGGGCAGGGTAGTGAGGGATGGGAGGAGGGTACAGCACACTGCATGGATTTTGCTGCCCTTTGGCATCATCAGGCACACTGGAACACCAGTGCCCCTTCTTCCTGATGGGGAGACTAAGGCAAGCAAGTTGTTTGTTTGTTTGTTTGTTTGTTTGTTTAAGATTTATTTATTTTTATTGGAAAGGCAGATTACAGGAAGAAGGAGATTACGGAAAGATCTTCCATCCACTGGTTCACTCCCCAAGTGGCCGTAACAGCCAGAGCTGAGCCAGTCCGAAGCTAGGAGCCAGGAACTTCTTCCAGGTCTCCCATGCAACTGCAGAGTCCCAAGGCTTTGAACCATCCTTGACTGGCTTCCCAGGCCACAAGCAGAAGGCTGGGCTGGGTGGGAAGTGGAGTAGCAAATTTGTGCCCTATGGGATCCTGGTGGTTGTAAAGCGAGGATATAGCTACTGAGCCATTATGCTAGGCCCGTGAATCAAGCAAGTTTAAGCCCAAAGTCAAGCATGTTAAACCAGAGCTATTGATGACTGAGAGGGCTAGCCCCTGGGGTCCTGCTCCCTAGGCCTTTGGCCTCCATGGAGCCAGCCCCACCACCCACTCCCACGGGTCTGGGGTAGCAGAGTGTCTCCCTCCGCATTCTCACCAGACTGTGACCACAGAAGAACTCCTTGGCCTTGTCCAAAGCTGGAAAGAGAAGGTGAGCCAAAGGATCAGGTACCTCAACTGCAGCCCGGACGCAACATCTGTGACTCAAGTGGTCTTTACTGTAAGGAACAGAATGGGAATAGGGAGAAGGGTGGACAAGCTGGCTTCTGGGCATCCAGGGGGCCCCCAGGGAACAGGGAGAGCTGACCATTGCCATTTTATAAAATAATAATAATAAATAGGGTGTGGAGGTAGGGAGAGGTGGAAGTGCTGAGCAGCTCACCTCCAGCCAGGCCACGTAGATGAGGAAACGACTCCCAAGCTAGTCTGAGGCTCCCTTCCACCCATTGGTCCACAGGACTGCAACCTCATGGACATGGAGTTGGACAGTGAAGTGCAGATATCTTCTGAAGCTCACGAGGAAGAGGCCAGGGCCGAAGCTGTCACGCCTGAGTCCTTGGCACAGCCCAGCCGCATGGGAAAGCCCATGATTGAAGACCCCGCTGTGGAGGTGGTCAGGAAGATCCTGCAGTGAGTGCCCACTTGGCTGCCCACTGTCCTCTGTCCACTGGGTATCACGTGGGAGCCTGACCCACTGAGCAAGGACTTTTCCTGTGGGAGTTTCAATGCCTCCTCTGCCTGCCACTAGAACCCTGCCCAGGGCGTGGGAGACTAGTGGCAGGAAAAGGGGAGTGCAGGGGACCTGGGCTAAGCTGTCCCAGGATCATTCAGGGTCGTTGTGCAAAAAGTTCCCATCCTTTCCTTTGCTTTCAGACTTTGCAACATGAAATCAACACAACAGTGTGACAAAGATCGGTCCCAGACAGGTAGAGGCAGATAGGCCTCTGAGTGCCAGAGCAGCCGGTGGTGGGGAAGCCAGGGCCACCGTGTGGCCCATCCTCACTTCCTATCCTCTGTTTTGATCTTGGGCACCCATTTTCCACAGGCTTGAAGCGACATCGATACCGGGGAGAACACCCCATGAGGAAGGCCTTGTCTGTCGTCAGTGCCACCTCTGTAGGCAGGTAGAGATGCTGGGGGGAAGCACTGACCATCTCCATCCCCCAGACAAGACCAGGGACAACCCCACTGCCCTCTTGGACTGACTGTGGACTGGTGGTGGGGTTAGCTGTGACACCGGCCTGAGTCAGGTCTGAATTCTGACCTGGTCTGGCCCAGAATATACCCATGGCAATGACAGGTGAATCCTACACCTTCTGCTTTGCGATGTGTTATCAAAGAAGAGGAACAGTTGGGACCACAGAACAGATGACTTCTCTGGGGTGACATTTGCAGAGCCACGGAAAGAGTTCAGGCCCTAGTGCCCTGGGCTTACACACTGAGGCCTGGTTAGAGTTTTTAGCCTGGAGAACTCCAGTTTCCTGTGGAAGGTGGCCGATGGAAGCCCAGGGCACAGCTGACTTTGCAGGTCTTCAGTTAGCCCCCAATGACATGGTGTGGTGTGCTTTGCAGGAAGTAAGGGAAATCACAGAATATGGGAAAAACAAAAACCACACAAATGGGAAGAATCAAGGTTGCTGACACTGAACTGGCTAAACAGGCAGGCAGCTGTCCTCAAGGTCCTTGTAGTCGACAGAAGAGTAGGAAGCCTCTGGATTTCTATAGGGAAGACTCCAGAATGTTCCCTGACGAGGGCTCTTGGTACGGGGTGGCTAGAAGCAGGGCATCCTGTGGGATTGGTGAAGGTACCTCTTTGGCTTTCCTTGCTTGGAGTTGGCGATGAGGACAAAGTCATGGAAGCCATCATTGGTTCAGTGAAGGGCTGGCTGGGCATCCCAGCTCCCTGGGAGTAGACCTATGGCAAACTGGCTTCCTGGGCTAGTTCCTAGGGACCTCAGGCAGGTTGTGGGTCCTAGTGCAGTCTTTGGTGGTAAGTGATCCAGCCAGAATTCATTTCTCTGTCCTGTCTCAGAGGTTATAAAACAAAATCCATACCACCTGGACTGTAGGTTAAAGAGAAGGTAGCCAGTTCAACTGGAATTTCAGATCAGTGATACCTTTGATAGTTTTTTTTTGTTGTTTGTTTTAGTATATATATGTCCTGAATATTGCATGGCACATACATGCACTACAAATTGTTCATTGCTGATATGAAATTCAGATTTCACTGGGTACTCTGTATTTTTTATTTGCTGAATCTGGACTCAAAGTGCTTTCTTTTGGATCCTCAGCATATGAAAAGGAGGGTGCCCTCTCCACCCCCAGCCTTAGCTTGAGAGGTTAATGGCAAAAGCTTCACTTCATGATGAAGCTCAGCCCAGCAGCAGATGTCAGGTCATGCTAGGGGAGAGACCCGACATCTCCAGCACCCCAGGCTCCTACAAATAGGGAGGTACCTAGCATCTATGCCCAGCCTGCAGAGAGCACTGACACACTCTTTGTCCCACAGCATCACCCGGCACTCCAAGCCCAACAGAATGGACAAGAAGTACCAGGTGCTAGGAGACAAACCTCCACCTCTGGCTGAGTAAGTGATGCCACCGTTCTCTGTGACTGCCCCACCTGTGCTTCCACGGAGTAGCAAGAGGTGACAGGACAGAGAAAGAGAATAAAGGAGTAAGAGAGAGATGGGAGGGGAGGGACAGTGAAGGGTCAGGGCCAGCTTGTCCTGAGCTGATTTGTCTCAATCTGCTGAGAAGTATTCTCACCAAACCTTCATGCTTTCCCAAGCTAAACCTTTCATGGTGGCAGAAGTCAAGGGCTAAGCAGAAAAAAAAAAAAAAAAGATCTCCAAAAAGGAAGACACTTTGTTGACATAGCACAGAAAATAGAATCTAATTGATCCTGTTTGTACACCCACATCAGGACCCTGGGAACTCCTGAATCTTCCCATCTACAAAGTGGGTTTAAGAAAAGCCTCTTCGAGCTTTCAGAAGAGCCAGCGAGTTCCTATGGCTTCCTTCTGTGACACAAGACTTTCACCCTGAGAATAGGAAATTTGGGAAAAAATAAATAAATAAGGGGAGGGGGAGAGAAAGAAGTGATTAGATCACCCCAAACACACACCCCACCCTGGTCAATTATTAAGGAAAAACTTGAGAACCCAGTGGGGATGAGGAGAAAGTGTGAAGATTCCATGTCCTAAAGAGGAAATGCAACTGTAGCTAGACACACGGGGGACACACTCAGAGGACAGGAACAGTTCATCCCAGCTTTTACCCAGGATTAACCAGCACGGAAGCTGCCAGTGTAGATGGAGAGCAAGGGGCAAGGTTTCCTGGAAATCACAAACCCACACCTGCTCGCCTGTCTCAGTGGTCTCCCCCAGGAGATCAGCCCACCATGAGGGAGAGCTTTGCTTGCAGATTTCCCTCCAATAGTTTGACTGCCCTTAGCAAACAGGAAAAATCTAGAAATCCCGAGAGAGGGGACTGTGAACCGTGGTGCAGCTGGCCTCAGTGGTGCTCCACAGCTGTTTAAGGCAAAAACAGCATGGGGAAACCTTGGCCATTTAAGACGTGAGCAGAGTGTGTGAAACACAAGTCCACCCAACCCTGATTATGACTGATGGGATAACAAGCAGAAAGAAATGCATTAAACACAACCACTTTTCCTTCGTTTTGAAATGTTTCCAAGTGTCTTTAAAGATGGAAAGCTTGTGTTAAGAGGCAAGATTGAGAGATCTGTATGCATGTGTCTTACACATGGGTGATGATGTGTGCATCTGACAGTCACTGCAGCACAGATTGTGAGCATGCTGTGTCCTCTGGGGCATGCAGCCCCACCCAGTGCATCTGTGCTTCATCCCCCTCGTAGTGTTCAGTTCACCTACCAGCAGGAGAGGATCCAGCAGGGCAATCGGAATTTGCCTAATAAATCCCTGGCATGTGCACAGCAGGCCTAACTGTCAGAGATAACAGGAGTTTTTCTGAAAATCCTGCTCAGTTGACTATTTATAAACAATCACTCTTTACTCTGTGAATCCATACTGGGGCACTTGACAGTACAGGTGCTGCCTTGAGGTGGGGATCCCAGGCTGATCATAAACACACACACGGGGTCTTCATCCTGTTGTCTAAAGATAAACTCAAGGCCAAACCTTGGCCGAGCCCAAGGCACCTGCATCCCAAGTCAGAATGCCTGACTTACAGTCCTGGCTCCTCTGCTTCTGATCCAGCTTCCTGCTAACGCACACCTTGGGAGACAGAAGGTGATGGCTTGAGCACTGGAGTCCCTGCTACCCACTTAGATCTGGATTGAGTTTCTGACTCCTTGATTTGGCCGGGCCTAACCTTGGCTGTTGTGGACATTTGGGGAGTAAACCAGCAGCTGCTAGATTTTTCTCCATCTCTCTGCCTTTTAAATAAAATGAAAATAAGCAAATAACTTTTTTGTTCAAAAAGATAAGCTTAGGCATGTTGAAACTTGCCTGAATTTATCTGAATAATGAATCATACGGAAATTGGGCAGCACAAGAACTTTAAGTCATTTAAGGTTCCACTGACGGGTCCCTGGGAAAACTTCTATAGGTCATTTATAGAAGCACCATAAAGGATCTTGCTTAAAGTAGAGAGTGCCTGGTTCGAGGTCGATTGGCTATCTGATTAGTTACACCTAGGTTTCATTTTCCCAGACTATAACCAATTTACTTACATCTTCAGCACTCCTTTCAGTCTAATGTCCTGCTGCTTCCTGCAGCAGGCACCTGCTGGGCTTTACAGGCTGATCAACTCAGAAGCTGCCCCATTGGAGTGCTGAAGGGCCCAGGGAAATGCACAAGGCATTTGAACCGGGCAGGTGGGAATTGATGGGATCTGAAGAGGAGCAGGAAGATGAAATCAAGGAAAAAAAATTAAACCTTTTTCTGGGGAAGAATTGGAATATGCAAAGGTCCTTGGGTCGGGGGAGGGGCAGCTGTGAGCACCTATAAGAAGTGAAAGGCTAAATGGAACACATAGAATGCTTCTCCATTTGCTTTTGTCCCTGTTGGTGTATTTTGATGGAGCTCCTCAGGGAATCTGCCTTGTATGTGTTGCAGGGACTTTAAAGGGATCATCTCAACTCTCCTGTGGGAGAGCAACGAGCACCTGCTGACTATCGTGGAGGTAAGGGCTACTGTCTGTGAGCCTGTGCCCACCTGGGACAACTGCTCCCACTTTTTGTGACTTTTTTCTACTTGTTGTGGTCTGCTGTTCATGGCCACTTGGGAAACACATACACACACACAGTCCCAGGTTCTGTCTGCCTGCCTCCTACAATACTTTCTGTCCTAGAAGCTAACCCTCATTCAGGCAGCATTCACTTAACCAGTCACCAGACATTTCTTGGACCACCAATTGCATGCCAGGTATTGGATGTGCCAGCCAATGTCCCCAAGGTGCCTAGTGGGAGGGGTGCAGGGGAACAGTTAGGCTGTGTAGCAGGGCCTTGCCCTCACACACCACATACAGCGGTTCTGGTGCCCTCTCCTGCCTGCCTCCCACAAGGAGCTCGATCATCCTGGTGACCCACAGTCTGTCCCCCAGCTTGATGTTTCCTATCAGCTGGCCACCGAGTCAAGATTGCCTTGGTTTGACTATTGAAAGTTGAATTGGATTTGGCCATTCACTCATTCAACAAGAAATAACAAGGGCTGGTTACAGCCTTGGGTCACACTGGGCATACCCTGGGTAAGATGGGGGTGTCAAGGGCAGACAGGGAGAAAGAACATCCCCCACCATAGGGGGTGACACCAGCAGAAAGCTATGTGACACCGGGTAGGAGGTGGGGTGGGCTGGGGGAGCAAGTCCCTGGGAGCGAGAGTCAGACTTATGGGCAATCCCGTTGGCAGGAATTTTACAGGAAGGAGAAACGCGCGATCATCAGGCCTGACTGCACGTACGAGAACTTTGATCAGTGTGCCGAGAGCATCAACAAGAAGATTCTGGAGTACCAGAGCCAAACGGATGAGTACCACAACTCCTGCCTCATGGGTGAGTGCAGGCATCAGACAGGACACAGCAGAGGCATGAAACCAGCATTGAGACTTAGCTCCAGCCCCCTTCCCTCTCAGCATGGGTCACTGTAGAGGCAAAGGAGCCTCCCTGTGAAATGCAGCTTCTTAGAATGAGGTGAAACCCATGATCAGATAGTGGCCACGCAGGTCGGTCTCCCCTCTGCTGCTAGACTGAAGACTCTAAGCCACCCAAGGGACAGGCAGCTCTTCTAAGGACTTCCCTGTGTGTGAGCAAGACCCTGTGGCAAGCAGGAAAGAACTGCAAGAGTCCAGACTGTTTTTAAACCTTCTGGTGAGCTGTGTTTGTGTAGCAACTTTTCTAATAAATAGAATTTTAAAAAAGATCAGTGAGGTCTCTGATCCATTTGAGTTGATTTGGATATGGATCTGACAACAGGTAGCAAAGCACAGCTCAATGGAAGGGCTAAGTTCTTGGGTTCTGCAACTCCAGGCTGGTAGCTATAGTTCCCAACAGTTTTGTATATTCTTCATGAACTAGAAGAGAGAATAGAAGCCCCCACACAGAAATTATATGGAATTTGAAATGCTAACCTCCCTGGTTTGAGCAGCAGACATTTATATACATATGTTGAAATATATCCCAAAATGCATACACACAGATATGCCTGATTAGGCTTACGTACAGAGTTGTACAATCATTGTAGAAGCCCCCAAACCTCGGTTCACCCACTCAGCAAGGCAATTACTAACAGAAATGGTGAAAGAAAGTAGCAGTGTATTTTCCAAGGTGCAGGGCAGGGAGTGGAGCAGCTGTCACTCCATTCCCATACTCCCTAAGGAATGAAAGACGGTGAGTCTGTAGGTGAGGTTGCACAGAGCATTGTGAAAAGTAAGCTGTCACCTGGAACCCCCTCATCCCATATCAGAGCACCTGGGATCAAGTACTGGCTCCCCTTCCAATCCAGCTTCCTGCTAACACACCCAGGAGTAACCAATGATGGCCCAAAAACTTGGACTCCTGCCATCCATGGGGGAGACACAGATGGAATTTCTGGCTCCTGGCTTTGACCTGGCCCATCCTCAACTATTGCAGGGATATAAAGAATAGATGCAATGATCAATTTCTTTCCCTCCTTCTCTCCTTCCCTTCCTCCCTCTCCCTGTCACTCGGCCTTTCAAATAACTAAATCTTTCAAAACCATATTCAAGTGTATAATATAATTACAAAAGCACAATTAAGAGTTGAAAATCTTAAAGCCATGAATGACATTTATTACCAGGTTGTAGAATTGGTGAACTAGAATGTAGATCCAAAGAAAATATCCACAATGCAACACAGATAAAAAGATGCACCCATATAAGAGAGGCAAAGAGATGTGGGTGAAATTGTAGGTCTGGCAGAGGGAAAGGGAGAAATTTGAGATGATAAGGGATAAGAACTTGCCAGAGCTGCTGAAAGACACAAGTGAGCTGAGAAGTCTGTAAGTCTGAGAAGCCCTTTGAACCTGTCTGATCCATATTTTATAGGCTGGTTTGACCATAGGATCCCGTTTCGGTTGAGTAATTATGACCATGTTAGGACCAAAGTTCCCGCCCCCAACCCCCACCCCAGGGAGACTGCTTTGATCCTTGCTGGGAGAGATCACATTAGCAACTATTTCCTGCTTGTCACAATCTCTTGCCCTCCCTCCTCTCCCCTTTAATTCCTGCAGAATTAAAAGTACAAATGAAGAAATTTGAAGAACTGCTGCCTCAGGTGTGCTGGCTGGTGATGGAGAACTTCAAGGACCATCACTGGCATAAATTTTGCACATCTGTCAATGATATTCAGGCCAAGTTCAAGGAGCAGCAGAAGCAGCTGGAGAAGAGGAAGGTGAGGGCCCAAGGTACAGGCCTTCCACTCTCAGACAAGGGGTTCTAGAAGTTCACCAATGGAGGCAGGTGATGGGCAGGTCCAAGTCCACATCCAAGGGAAGTGACGAGTCAGGCTAGAGAGTCCTAGGTCAGGCTGAAGACCAGGAGGCATTGATAAAATAGGAAGCAAGCCCACAACTCCTCTGCTGAAAGCACTCGGTAAATTCCTGGGAGGATTTGTGGGTGTACCTTCTGGGTTGGGTGGCACTGAGATCAACAATGACGTCATCAAGCAGCCGGGTAACATGCTTAGGACAGGGGTGCTGTCGCTGTCCTTGGTGGGTACCTAGTTCACCTCTGTACCCCCCCATGACCCCTCACTCTGCCTACCAATGACCCCTTGCATATCCAGGTCAGAGGACACAGTCTGGCTGTATTCACCACAATCAACACGAGATATAGGCCCATGAGATTTTTGGGGTGGGAGGGGTGAGAAGGGTTGGAGGGTATTGGTTCTAACTTCAAAACCGAGTCAGAATGCCAAGCTGAATTCTGATTTGTTGGATCCAAGGATGAAAATGCCCAGAAGCTCCATCCAAACCTTGGCCATCCCACCTTGTTCCAAAAAATGGAATCCCTGCACCTGATGGAAAAGAAGAGGCAGGATGAACTGGATACCACCATTAGGATAACCAGGGAGAGGCTGGAGGTCAGCGGTGCTGGGGTCACTCTGCCCACCACAAAGATGGCCCCAGTGCCACATCCAGTTTGGCACCTAGACTACTCCATGCAAGTGGGTGGGGCTGTGGGTCTAAGGATCCTTACCCAGCTGCTTTAACATACATGCCTCAGATCGCTGAACTAATTACATCAGCAATGTGCACTTCTTTTTGCATGATTTCCATCCAGTCTTATTTCATTTCTGGCTGCTTCTGAATCATTTCCTATCCCTTGGGAAAGAGCTCCTGGCTGAGAAACAAATGCCAGCTCACTTGGGCACAGCTAGAGCAGTCATGTTGGCCTTGGCTGCCAGCTACTTCCCCAAATCTTCCCTGCAAAGTCTTTCCCACTGCCTTGCCTAGCTCCCCCCAGGAGTGCCTCTCCCTGGTGTTCTGAGCTCGCCGTGTCTCTACCAGGACTGCACCAGGAAGTGTGGCCGCATCTTCATAACCAACTTGGCCGCCTTCACAGAGAAGCTGCTGCTGCAGCTGGACGAAGTCATCACCATGGATGACATCCAGGTCGCAAGTACGGTCCTGGTCAGGTCGGGCGGGCAGGGGATGGGATGGGGTCCAGGGAGGAGAGGGAGAAAGCTGGTTTGAGGGAGGGTCTGCTTTCTCCCAACTCTAAGTATGAAAACAGCGTCTCCATCGAGGGAGCTGATGACTTTTTGTTTCATCAAAAACAATGTCTTTAATAAGGGCAAGTGTTGGGTGAATCAAATATTATTATATTCTCTGAGGAACAGGATACTGTTAGGAATAGGAAATATTGAGGTGCGGATTCCATTCTCCTGCTGACATTGCACATAATGGGTTCCTGCCACTCAGGTCAGGGAGACTAAGTTGAGGTCCAAGATCCCAGGGGGCCCTAGAGGAGTGACTCAGCAGGTGGGAGTGCTTGCTTGTATTCTCTGTCTCTCTCCCCACGTGCATCATTTTGCCACTCCAATCAAAACATTTAAAAAGAGAAAAAGGACAAGTACGTGCATCTCAGAAGTGGTTCATGTGGCTAGGAACTGGGACAGCTGCTCAGCCTCATCAATTATCAGTGCCATGCCATTTCTGACTGCCTGCCAGCCATAGTTTTTATGTTTGGCGGCAGCCAGCCCTAGTGAGGGTGGTAGGAAGAAGGCAGAAAGGTATGTCAACCCTGTTCTGAGGGCAGAATGGAGTGTGTCAGCTCCTACACAAGTGCACTTCTGTCCCAACGGTCCTAACCCTAGCAATGTGGCTGCCAGAAATTCATCCATGCTTTTCCAAAGACACATGTCCAAGAACACTCCCCACAGCATTGCTCTAGATGGCAAAGAATTGAAGATGACATTGGTATCCATATGTAAGGACTGGATATGTCCATGATGGGCCAGATGTACAAGCAAGCACAGCTCTGCTGCTGGGGTACAAGCGGCAGGTCTGTGTGCACCCACCAGGAAGAGGTAAGGAAGGAATGCCGTGTGCAAAGACAATGAGCCCACATTTTAAAAACATATATAAGGGAGCAAGTGACTCTCCTGGTGGCTAACATGCTGCCTGGTGGTTTAAACCTCTATCTGCAATGCCAGAATCCCATATGGGTAGCAGTTCCAGTCCCAGGTGTTCCACTTCCCATCCAGCCTCCTGTTAATGCACCTGGGAAAACAGTGGGACATGGCTCAAGTGCTTGGGCCCCTGCATCCATATGGGAGAACTGGAGGGAGCCCCTGGCTTCTGTCTGTGGTCATTTGGAGAATGAATCAGTGGGTGGAAGGCCCATCTCTTTGTGTCCCCCCGTTTCTAGTTCTGCCTTTCAAGTAAAAGCAATATTTTTTTAAAAAGAAAAAAAGAAAAGAAAGATGCTGCTCAAAGACCCATATGCTATACCAGGGTTCCTGGAATGCAGTTCCAGCCCTGCTCATAATTCCAGCTTCCTGCAAATGCACACCCTGAGAGGCTCCAGCACCCATGGGAAAGATCTGGATTGAGTCTCCGGCTCCTGATTTCTGCCTGACTCAACCCTCTCCCACCCCAGCTGTTGGACAGGCATCTGGGGAGTGAACCCAGCCAACAGAATGAAGCTCTCTATCTCTCTCTGCCTCTCAGATTAGTAAAAATAAATGCAATGTACATACAGGATATCAGCATGCACACACACCTGTGTGGGAGACAGAGAGAGAGTCTGAGCAGTGGTCAACCCCAAGCTGCTATCCATCCTCTTCCATATGGGATGAGAAGAGGATTTCAGAATCTTACTTTCCATCATGAAGCACTATTTACATTTTTTATGGCATGCATGTTATATTTTATAACTGTTAGAGTATTAAAGTCATATATCCAGGGGGTTGTTCATCCACCAAGAATTAATATTCATTGTTTCTATTTTTAGAAGTTTTATTGCAAAGATGTTCCATGTTCATCATAGCAACATAGGCATCCAAGTCCCGCACACTGAGAGCCAGGCTGGCTGCCTGGGTTGCATTCTGCTGGAGGTGGAGGGGTGGGTGGAAGAGGACGGGGCCTGTGTAGTTTGGGGTCTGGGCTGTAGCTAGGCCAATCCGTGCTGACCTCTGGGGAGCACTGAGTACTGCACCCAGTGATTTATGGATTGCATAAGCCCCACACTGTCACTTCCTGGTCGGTGCAAGGGCCCTCAGATTCCCTGTGTGTGGTTTTGCACACTTTCAGGTATCAACCCTTTCCTGGGACTGCAGACCTCAATGTTAAGGGCAAGCTTGTTAGGGAAAGCAGGGCCTGCAGACACACAGCTGCCACTAAAGGAACCAGCAGAAGGGCAGTGGCCAGGGTGCCCACGGTCCCCTGCAGGGAGTCACAAAGCAGGGCAAATCCCTCACCGGAGGACTGGGGACCTCTGTCTGCCCTGCCATTCAACTGCTGCTGCTATTTAACAAGTTCATCTCTGTTTTAAAATATTTATGCATCTATTTATATCAGTTGAAAAGCAGACACACACACACACACACACACACACATCTTCTATCTGTAAATGTCCTCAACCAAGCACGGCCATGAGCCCAGCACTCCGTCCAGGTCACCGACATGGATGGCAGGGCCCAAGCACTTGAACCATCATCTGCTGCCTGCCAGGGGCATTAGCAGGGAGCCAGGTGGGCAGCAGAGTTTCTGGGACTCCAGAATGGGATGCAAACATCCCTAAGTGACGCTCTAACTCTCTGTGCCACAGTGCCTACCCAACAGTTAGCTTGTGGGCCAAGCCAGCGGGCCCCCTGGCTGTAGATCAGGGCCACTTCTGCCCACTGGCTCTCAATCTTGTGTACAGGGCCACTTTGTCCCTGACCAAGAAAGCCCACCTGAGCAGCAGGTTAGACATTCCAGGAACAAGCTTGGGCATGTTAATTCCAGGGGAACTTCTTAGGACACACAGGAGCTACCATAAGCCCAAAATAAGGCCGCACAGTGGGCATTTCAGGGACTCTTGGAAACTGCAGGAAAGTTGGGCTTCAAGCTCAGGGACTTGGAACTGGGAACTCCCCCTAGCAATGACCCTGGCCAGGAACACCCCCACCAGCACCACCCCAGCTGGCATATATGGGGCAGTCAGTGGTCTCTGGAGGCAGGAGGAGAGAGTAGACCCTCACTCTCTAAAGACAACCTGGGGATCGGCCTTGGCCTCAGGCCAGAAAGAGGCCACCAGTCAGTCACCACATCTCTTGCCACCTAGAGATGGAGCACCCCAGGCAGAAAACGTCCATCCTCATTCGAAGGAAACTGGCAGGACTCCCTCTGGAGGAGGAGAGTGAGAAGCCCCTGATTGAGCGTGGGAGCAGGTGAGACCCCAGCTGGGGGCGGGGCACTGCAGGGGCAGAGTTAACACTCCCAAGTCAGATGGGCAATGGACGTGCAGACAGATGAACCTTGGAAAGGCACTCTATTTGCAGCCTCAGTTTCCTCATCTGGAAAATGGCCACAGCAACCTACCTTCTGTGATGTTGCGTGTGCAGCGGCAGCCTTGGCCACAATCATCAGGCCATGCAATGGAGACTCACCCTGTGCCTCTGGGAGGTACTAAGAGCCACAACAGCTGTCTATCACATGTGGCAGGGGCCTGTACCCTAGGTCCCAGCAGGGAGACACTATGCAAAGCAGTGACTGGCCCAGCTACGTTCTTGGCAGCGCCTTTGACGGTACAGTAGGGACAATGGAATGGAAACTCTGCCATCTGGCTGGCAGGTAGACAAGGAAGCTGAGGCCATTCATTCTCCTGGCCACACAGAACTTGGCAATAGGGAACAGTACAAGGTGACAACATGGGAACACAAGCCAGAGGACTCAGAGGGCATTGCTGTAAACACTCAGGAGGGTTTGTTTGTGTCATGAAGATGGTGAAAGCCATGGCCATTTGAGTAGGAAAGAGATTCTGGACTTTGACAGCAGGCATGGCAGGTGGCTCATGATGATGAAACCAAACTCTTGGAACTGTTGTTTGCAGGAAGTGGCCGGGCATAAAGCCCACTCAAGTCACCACCCAGCACAAGCTTCTCTCTCGGAAAACAGCCTGCATCACCACCAACAAGACCACCCTGGGCCACCTGGCGGCCGTGGAAGCCCGAGATGCTATGTACTTGGTGAGACCAGGAGGGCAGGTAGGGTATGTCCAGGGGTGTGTGTGGAGCGGGCTCACCTGGCAGTTTAGGAGGGAAGGTGCTCACACACACACACACACACATACCAGGGCACTGCAGTGTTGGGCCCAGAAGGCACAGGACCTGCATGCCTGAGTTGGCATCTTTGCACTTGAGACAGCTTATGTTCATGGACAGTGCTGGTGCAGGGTGCTGAGACTATGAGCAGCTGGACAAGGGGCCACCCCACTTAGTGTAGAGCCAAACAAGGGCTTTCCAGAGGGGCCATAGTCCCTAACCCTAACCTGTTGTCTCTATCAAATCCTGACCACGCGTGGGAGAGCTCGAATCACTGTCCCAATTTTAATGATTTAGAACACTGAGGCTTCAAGAACCTTGCCTCCTCCCTGCCCCCATGGCACTGCAGAACATCAGAGCTGGGATTTGAACCCAGTGCCTACTGGGCCCTAGCAGGGCAAGTTGGACGAGAAGGCTGCCCACGGGTGCCACTTAAAGGGTGCTGTCAAGAGCCACTGACTTTTAGCGCCAGTTCCCAGAGAGAAGCCTTGTCCTGCCTGGAGATGAGTGGGCGCAGGACTGATAAGGTACAGAGTACTCAGGACCAGCATGCCCAGCCCCAGGCACAACGGGCAGCTCTACCTGCTGAGTTCAGGGAGCTTGAGGCCTGGCGGGCACAAGCCCCCTCCTTCTCCAGGAAGCCACGACCCCTGAGCAGCAGGGAGGCTGTCGTGGGGCTGGAGGAGTTAGAGAGTCCTGAGCCAGCCTCAGTTTCTACACCTTTAAAATGGAGGCAACTGCCCTGATGGATTGTGGGCAGTTCCATGAGATATGATTTGGGTATCACTTGACAGTGCTGGGAGAGAGTTCAGAGCCATGCCTTCTACCACAACAGGTTACAGCCTTCTCCTGGGGGCAGGACAGGGCAGAGCCCACAGCTGCCGCCTCCTGCAGCCCCATCCTGCTATTGTCCTTCCAGAAATACTTAGCCTTGTTTGAGAAGGAACTGAAGAAGATCCAGACTGAGAACCTGACCCAGGTGAGGGAAGCCCAGCGCTGGAAGGACTGCTGGAAACGCTCCCTGCACACCATCCAGGGCCTATACTTGTGACCCCTGCAGCCTGCGCATTAAAGTCATGTTTCCCACAGACTCTCCCTCTGTCCTCCTCCCTTCCTGCTCTGTACCAAGATCTGTGGCTTCACGCTGGGTGGTCCCTGTCCGTGTGGAACTCAAATCAATAAGAGACATCTGGGCCAAGAGAAGGTAGCTCCCAGCAATCTGCCACTTCAAAGAGACCCCAGGACCTCAAAGGAAACAGCCTCCAAAGCCACACTTGGCACTTTAAAAAGTAAAATTGCTAACAACTATGGGAGGGCAGGTATTGTGGCACAGTGGGTTAAGGCCCTGCTTGGGATGCCCACGCACCATTTGGGAATGCCGGAGAGACAAGTCCCACCTCCATCTCTAAGCCAGCTTCCTGTTACCATGTTCCTTGTGGGGAGAGGCAGGGGGAGCAATAAGTAATGACTCCAGTGCTTGTGTAAACTGTCACCCCCAAAGGAGACCCAGAGAGAATTCCTGGCTCCTGGTTTCAGCCCAGCCCAGCCTTAGCTGTTGTAGGCATCTGGGGGAGAGTGACCAGCCAATGAAAGATGCCTTGTTTCTCTCTGACATTCTGCCTTTCAAGTAATTGGACTTCAAAATGCAGGCATTCTGCTGCCCCAGTCGGGCAGAAGTGGCATCTACACAGGCAGAGAAGAGGTGAGAGGAACTTCGAGGCTAGGGAGGTGCGCTTCCCCAAACACATCCCATTCCCCAACCCCACCCGCCCCCAGCAGAGCCAGGACACAGGGAGTGGACATCCAATGTCCCCCTTGCTGGCGGGGACACCCTCCGTCTCTGCACAGCGAGGGAGAGCAGTGTGTGGGCTGCCCAGGTGGGACCACAGCTGGCCATGGCCCAGAAGCCAAATGGCCACAACAACCAGGACTGAACTAGTCTGAACCCAGGAGCCAGAAACTTTTTCCTAAGTCTCCCACAAGGGTGCAAGGCCCCATGAACTTGGGGCAGCCTCCATCAGAGGCTTTAGGAGGGCTGAGTCAGCATCTACAGTGGTGCATGAAGCTCTCACTTTGGGTTCTCCCTTTCCCCTTTCCCGGGCCATGCCTGGGGGACTCAGGGTCCTATGGGAGCAGGCACTGCCTGTTGGCCAGCTAGGGGCTCTCTCTGCACCGTGGGTGCTGGGGTTAAAAGAGGTCTAAATTTTGTGCAGGTTCATCCATCACCAGAAAGTGAAGTCACATCCTCTATGTTCTGTGATCTGGGACACACTCCCCACCACCACCACCAAGACCTCTGAGCTGCAGACTCCTCACACACCCCTATATCCTCACCCTCATAGCCCTTGGAGGGTGGGGAAGTAGGGAGGCAGGGGGCAAGGGCAGACTCCAAGGTCACAGGTTGAGGGGGTAAGAGCTGGGTGTCTTGGGGAAAGCCACCATGTCCCAAAGGGCCTCCCCTGCCTGCAAAATCAGAAGCTGCTAGCATCCGTCCATCCAGTATGGAAGCAGGTGTAAAACCCACAGACTGTGTCCTGGGTCACCTGTGCACACAAGGAGAGGAGGAAGGATGTTGAGAAGGGAGCAGGTCTAGTGGAGGAGGACAACGCACCACATGCCAGTCTCACCTGTGTGTCCCCCTCTGGGCCTCGTCTTCCACTGAGCTCCGCCAAGGGCTAGAATGATAGGAAAGACACTCGTGCGCACTGTGGGCCAAGAGCTGCCAGTGTCTTCCTTTGCCATCAGAGCCACGTGTGTCTCCTCCTGGCTGGGCTGTGGGCACAGCAACTCATCTCCCCAACACACACACACACCTACACAGCCACCAGGTAGCATCTGACCTTCAAGATAGAGCAGCTGGGAAGGGAGCAGTTCTGTCTTGGCTTAGTCTGCCTCCCAGTGCCACAGCTCACAGAGAACAGAATCACATTCCCCACCATCCTGGGGGCTGGAGGTCAGGACCAGGGTGCCAGCACTGCCCAGGGCAGATGACATCTTGCCCCAGAGGGCCTGAACCTGCTTCTTAAATTTTTTTAAAGATTTTTTTGAAAGAACTACAAAGAGAGAATATCTTCTATCTACTGGCTCACTTTCCAAATGGCTGCAAAGGCCAGGGCTGGGCCATGCCAAAGCCAGGAACCAGGAGCTTCTTCTAGGTCTCCCACTTGGATGCAGAGGCTCAAGCCATCCTCCGCTGCCTTCCTAGGTGCATTAGCATGGAGCTGGATGGGAAGGAGAGCAGCTGGAGCCCCCCAGAAGATGCCAGTGACAGTTAACCTGCTAGACTTCAGTGCTGGATGCTGAAATTCCTTTGGAAAGAAGACAAATCCCATTTCCGGGGGCTCCACACTCATGATCTCATGAGCTCCCGAAGTCCCTAGCCCTGGTGTCATTGTACTAAGGATTAGGAGGGCAATGCAGGCACTTCACATAATACAGCTCCCCGGTCCATTGCAGCAGACCAGCTGCAGCTGCCAACTTCCTCTTACTTCTGGGTCTTGACCATGTTCCCTCCCTTGGAAAGCTCAGTGACACCAGCTACCCCAGGTGGAGCCCTGCATGGCACAGCACCACACACACCCAGGCCAGAGACTCCCAGTAAGCATGGAAGCTTACCGGTATCCACGTGTGTGGGTTTGGGGCAGACCCACCCAAGGCTAGCTTCAGCAGAGGCCCCCAGGCCCAGTGTCCCTTGGACTCTACCATCCAGCACCCTCCTGTCTTTGTGATACTTGTTCTTTTCTTCCTCACATATCTGTTTTTGGCCATGCCCCTTCCAGAGCATGAGCCCTTAGAGAACAGGGGCCTATGCCAGCTTTCAGTGTCCCTTCATGCTGGGTCTGCACCAGGGAAGCTGGCATGGATAATGGCTTTGTGAGCACAGCCAATGACTGTGTGAGTGGGAGCAATCCAGAGCCCCCTTTCCAAGCTTCTGAAAAGCTTGGACTCTGGCAATGACTGGCAAAAATTAGGAAGTGTGAGCTGGACCTGAGACGGGGGACCACCACCATGAACCCTGTGTAACTCCCATCTTGTTCCAGCTGCTCCAGCTGGATTCCATGCTGGTGGCAGCACGCCTTCTGGTGGCCAACCCTGGAACATCAACCCAGTCAAGATGTGGGGTCTTTGCTTGCGCAGAGGATCCAGGTAGAATTAGAAGTCTTTCCTTGTACCCTTCACTCAGGGCCCAGGGCTCTGGCAATCTGACTCTTTATTAAGACCCCATCCACCTATAGTCCAAGATGCCCTCTGTTCTGAAGGACCTTCAGGGAGGGGCAGGAGGTGCAGGCAGAGTTCTTCCCCAGTGTTTCAGAGCACAAATGGTAGTCACTGGAGATGCCAAGCCAACAGATGTTTTCCCCATGGGTGAATCCCTGCGTGTCGGACCCACCAAGTACCTGTAGGCATGCAGGGTGAGCAAAAGCCTTCTCCCTTGCAGCCAATGTCTACACTGGAGGGGCACGCTCATCCAGGTAGCCAGTAGATAGCAAGACCCCAGTACTGCACCCTCAAGGCTGTGATGGCAACCAAGGTCTTTCCCTGTCCTTGCTCTGGGCCCAACGCCACTGCCCCTCTAGCCCAGCAGCCAACAGCTTCTTTCTGCTCCTTCTCCCAGGGGAGGGGGCTGAGCCTGGGAGACTGGAGCCCACCCTTCTCCTGTGGACTCCACCCATCCTGGGAGGTGGCTTCCTTAAGGACCTGTGAAGACCTGGGTGGGCAACTGCACTAGCACAGGTCCAGGCAGGAAGGTGGTGTCATCTCCAACACAGGAGTGGGGCTCGAGGTGGCTCAGGAACACACAGAGACAGAAGCTTCAAGCAGATGCACCCGTGACCAACAAACCTTATACCTTCTGCTTTGTGATAAGAGAAGGTGCTAGGGACCACCACCCACCCACCCTCGTCTCACTGCAGGCACAGGGGTGACACCGTAGGGACCTGCAGGCCAGGCTGGTTCCCATGCAGCCAGCTCTGTGCTCTGCACACCTGCTGGAGCCTGGGTCATGTTCACTGCTGCAGCGACACACACGGAGCCAAGGGACTGAGGTGTTGCCTTGCAGGAGAAGAGGACTCAGGTGTCAGCATGCATCTCAGGATCGTCCCATGGAGCACACAACCGAGGTCCTGGGAAGAGTTATATCTTGTCCAAGGTCACACAGCCAACAACAGCAAAATTGGTGTTACAGACAGTTGCTCATTGCTTGGTGTAACTCCTCCCCACCTCTCCCACAGCCCCAAATAATAGAGGCACTACAAAAGAGCTGTTTCCTTCTTTCTCATGGAACAGGACTCTGAAGGCAGGTGGTGGTTCATCAGCCGTCTCCGTTCCGGCATCTGTGCTTCCCCTAGTCCAGGTTGCCCGATAAAACTACTGACTCCACTAAGGGTTGGCTCTGGGGTCCCAGCAAGGAGCCCCCAGAGATCCTACACCTAAGAAGCAAGCAGGAAGAAGGAAGGCCATTGGGTGGGCTCCATCTGAGCAGCCTTCCAAGTCCCAAACTATGGAACTGCTCACGTTTCATTGTCCTGAACTTCCTCATCTTTAGCTGCAAGAGAGGTTGCTTTGGTGAGCTGCTGCCCTGAAGAAACTTGAGTCTATTTTTTTTAAAAGTTAATTTGAAAACTACTTGTAACAGAGAGAGATCTTCCCACAATGGTTAATTCCAGAGAGATTGTCCACCTACTGGTTCACTCCTCAGATGGCCACTGAGCCAGTCCAAAGGCAGGAATTTCATCCGGGTCTCCCACGTGAGCGCAGGGGTGCAAGCACTCAGATCATCTTCTACTGCTTTCCCAAGGGCATCAGCAGGAAACGATCTGAAAGGGAGCAGCTGGGACTTGAACCAGTGCTCCTATGGGAAGTTGGTGCTGCAGGTGCCAGCTGGGTCTGGGGTCTGTGCATTTCACAGTAGAGTAGAGGGAAAATCGTGGGGGTTGTCTCCCGCCCCTCAAACTCCAGACGCAGAGCAGGAGAGGGGGCTGTTCTCAGATGAATCAGGCAACATCTGCCTTCCACAGCCTTGCTTCTTGGTGTGCTTCTTCATCCACAGGGACAAGAAGATGCAGTTCTGAGCCACAGGGGAGGGACTCTTGCCGTCACTTCCCCATCAGAATGGTTGGGCCTGCTTTGTGGTCCCTTCACCTGCCTAGGCCAAGGAGAACCAAGGAAATCTTCCAAGTTCATGAATGAGGCAAGGTGGGAGGTAAGAGTTGGGACAGGCAAGTAGCTTTAGATGATGACATGCCAATAAGAAAACAATATAAGCCACAGACAGAGAGATTGAGTGTGTGTGTGTGTGTGTGTGTGTGTGTGTGTGTGGATACGATGATCCTGCACACGTGGAGAATGAGCCAGAAAGTGTTAACTGGAGATGCTATGGTTTACTGATGAAAGAAAGAAGGAAAGAAAGGAAGGAGGGAAGGAATGAAGGAAGGAAAGGAGAAAAAAGAAAAAACAAGCAAAGCTACAAAACAAGGAACAGGAGCTGCTTTTGGGGGGGGGTTGTTTGTTTGTTTTTGTTTTTGTTTTGCCTAGCTTGATTTGGAACTTGATGAGGCTTCATCATTGGAGTCACTGACATCACACCTGTCAGAATCCTAAGAAGCCAGGGGCTTTGTGGGAACCTCTGTCAGTTGCAATGGGACGCACATGTGTGATTCCCTCCAAATTCACACATGCAGGTCCTAGCCCCAAGGGAGATGGCAGGGGGTGGAGCCTCTGGGAGGTGATGTAGGGTGTTAGGGTGGAGCCCTCACCAAGGGGATTGGTGTTCTTATAAAAGAGATCTCAGAGGATGCCGGGGCATTCTCTGTCGACTGAGGGAGGAAGCCAGGAGAAGGATCTGTGAAGCTACAATGCGAGGTCAGCAGCCTGCAGCCCAGAAGAGGAGCTTCATCAGAGCCCGGCCAGGCTGGCCCCCTGATCCCGGGCTGTCAGCCCCGAGAACGGTGAGCAGCACATTTCTGTGGCAGAGTCACCTGTGGGAGAGTTGCCTCTGTCAGCCCAAGCTGCAGGGCACCCACCCTCGGCTGGGTTTGGACCAGCATATCTGCTACCTGTGCTATGGGCTTATGGCTCCCTACAGAGGTTCCAAGGGTGGAAAGAAACTGTACTCTGTCCTGGGGCTTTTTGTGCATTCTGCTCCATCCACTTCTGAAGCCTCTTATTTTATTCATCAGGTTTGCAAAGAGGTAACTTGGCACAGAAAGGAGGAAGTGGATGGGCCTCAGCGCTCCCTCATGTATTCATTAACTGGGTAAATATTTAATACAAGCTGGGTTGTACCAAGTGCTGGAGTATTGCAGATATCCATCTATTCATGTCTAGCTCTGTAATGGAACTCCCCCAATTTCAGTGACAATTTACAAGTCAGCTAGGAGTTCAGCCTTCACACACACTGGACAGGAACTTGCAGTGGGCAGAGGGACGGGCATGCCACTGTCGCCGGGGCACTCACCCTGGCTCTCAAATCCAGAATTTCCATCCTAGAGGAAATCCCTGTGGTGTCTGACCCTAACTGCTAATACAAAGCCTGCTGCTTTAAACAGGTTGCTGCTACAAACTCTGATTTCAGGCTTAAACAGAGCGAGTATTAGAGGGTCCAGGCAAGAAGAGAATTGAGAAGATGAGGAAGACTATGAATTTAGAGAGAGGGGGAGATAATTAGAGGCTAGGTGAACTTCATAAAGCTTTAACACCCCTTGCCTGTCCTCTCCACCACCAAAAAAAGCATTATTTTAGCTTCCTTAGCTTTCTGTATGGAGTGATGCAGAATTCTAATGCAGACATATAGGGGAATCCCCAGATCTGTTACTGTAAATGGGTAGGTCACGTTCAACTTCCCTCTCAGTATACTTGGACCTGAGGGGAAATTCCAGCAGCAAAATTCCACCTTATCTTGCCCAGCACTCCTCTCGCAGGATGCATATTTGAGAACCCCTTGTTTACTGTCAGAAAATGGAGTTCACGGGAAAAGAAAAACTTGGAAAAATAAAATTGTATAATAAAATCCTGGGAAAATTTACTGATGAAAATAGAGCAGAGTTTATCATGGACAGAAATGGGTGGCCAGATGTTCCCAGATGGGTTAGGACTAGAGGGATTCTCTGACAGGGGAGAAGGGCACCTAGTACCCACTCCCCAGCCCACTAGATGTCAGCAGGTGCCCAATCATGTGACATTGCAAATAGCCTCATGACAAACCAGGGCACTGATGCATAGGAACTGACCAAATAGCCATGGGGGGAGAACTTTTTGGCTACTGGGTTAACTTGGTCACTCTGAGGCCAGAAGCAGCAATCCAGGGCCCTGTATGTCGGGGCTGTTCATGCATTTGAGGAAGATCAAGTCCCAGGTGGATTGTCCAGGGTTAGACACCAAGGCGGTTGTCACCTGCCTCAACTGGATGCTTCTCATGTAAGCCTGCCTCTTCGAACACTGCCCGCTTCCTTACGTCTGGGGGTCAGCTGAACTTTCCTCCCTCGCACATCCAGGGTACCCATGTGGTTTCCTCTCATAGCCTCACCCCTTCCTCACTCTTAACAATTATCACATGGTTAGCTATGTCCCAGCTGCTTCATCAGAGTTGACACTGTTGTGGCTTATTGTCATACTTCAAGTGTTGTTGCCCGACAGCTGTCTCAGCTAGCTGGCCACTCTTAGTAGCCTCCTCCTTGGAATCAGCTCTAGGCTGAGCTACACGAGTGACCCACAGCTTGCAAGACAGCGATTGGGACCACTGAGCTCTATAAAACCCTGGGTTGCGGCTCCTGCAACTTTTCTGCATACAGCACGGCTTTCCGCCCCCCCCCCCCCCCCCCCCCCGTTGACCACTGCCCGGTTGCTCTCGGGCCACTAAGCTTTGGCCAGCAGCCCATTCAGGGGATTAGGCCCTTTCGGCCGATTCACCTTGGAGCCTTTTGTGGGCAGATTAGGGAGTTTTGCTTGGTCAGCAGATCCTTAGCTTTCCCAGGTCCTGGATTTTAGCAGGGCTCCGGCACACGCTTGCTTTCACTGTGGCATTTATTTTGTTTGGCCTTTTCTCCTTACTCAGTTAAAACAAATGAGGTTGTCTAGAAAGTTCTCTGCACTTGTTCATGAGGCAGTAGCTGATGGGAGAGGTTAATGATGAACCAAAAACAGATATATCCAAAAATTGCTTTAGGCATGCATCTGATTGATTTTTTTGTTTTGTTTTCTGGCTTGATCGAAGCCCAAAAGTATACAGGAGGCTTAGATTTTATCTTCATACTTAATGTTGACCATGTTGGTTCTGGGCTTGACTACTGCTGAAATTGTTTGCAATTAAAATGACTCCGAGAATACAGATAAAAAAGATGCTAGCTCTTTGTTTCATGGAGGATGTAGTTTGTAATTATAAAGTAAGTTGAAAGGATGCCATTGTAAACATTAAAAGAAAAATAAGAATGGAAGAGGGGATGGGAAGGAGGGGAAGGTTGGAAGTTATGCTCTTAAAACTTCATATAGAAGTGGCTTCCCTTATATGAATTTTGTAGAACGATATAAACTCCTGGGCTGCAGAGCAGAGAGCCACCACCAAGTGTAGCAGATGGACAGGAGGCACTCAACATGCTCTGTGGAACGTGGTGTTGTCTGCCTCTCCCAAATGTTGCTTGCAGAATTGAGAGAGGCCCAAGAGAGCCACCGGAGAGCCAGCCCGACCTCCCACATCCGGCCTGTCTGCCTTGTCTCGGTACCCTTGTACCCACCTCCCCTGGGCACTCTCCCGGGACACAAGCTCCCCTGTGTGGACAGAAATGCAGGAAGTGATCCAGACACAGGTTGTCCACTTGGAATATTTCCCCATTTCTCTGCTCAGGATAAGATGGCAACCAAATGATTTCCCTTCCCCTCGCCTGGGCCTTGGTTTGCCTTTCTCCACGTGTTCTCCCTGGTGAAGGCTCGAGCAGGTGTGTGTGACCTGCCAGGTGCAGCCTCCTGGCCAGCTGACAGTTGGTTCCTCTCTGTTCACTTTGCCTGTCCCAGGAGTCACCTGAGAAGAGCGCAGGAGATCTTGCTACACCCTCAAGGTTGGGGAAATCCAAGCCTGCCTCTCTTTAAGCTCACATGCTCCTGGCTCTGATGCTGCTGTCCAAAGATGGGCTTGACTGTCTTCTGAGGGTACATGCCTTCTACCATGGGTCTGTCCATTTAAAACACCCTGCTCTTGGGCCCCAGCATATATGCTTTCTTCTCACCTTTTTTTAAAAAAAAAAAACAACAACCTTGATTTGATACGAAGGAGAGAAGCCGATTGATTAGGGATACATATTGAGCTGGAATATTTTTCTTCCAATTTCTGCATAGTTCCCTGTACTGTAACTCCCTTGCCTGTCAGTCCAGCACATAAAACCCCCACTTTCCCAGGATGTAACATCTTCTGTTACACCAGGAAGGAGAAGGTGCCACAATGGCCCCATTGGAAGTGAAGTTGCATGTGGAGATGTCGTGAAACTCCCAGAAAGGCTGAGGTGCACTAGACACTGCCAGACACCACTGCGTTGGCACAGTGAGGGCACTGCACTCTATTCCACAGAAATGACTGTCAACCTGGGGGGCAGGGCACCTCCTTTGGCTTTTTGGCACTGGTCTTAGATTTGGGGTCCTCCTCTGGCCTCCTCCCATGCTCTGTCCTCACAGGCGACTCTGGCCCACCCAAGACAGGTACTGCTCCATACGCCCAATTTCTGGCAGCAATGTACATTCATTCTCACTTTTAAATCAGCCTGCCTCTCATCTGTACACTGTTTGTATGCCTCTGGTGGTAGCAGGAAGTTGGCAACCACAGTGAGATTTGTACTCCCTTAGCAGGTTCACAGCAGGATTTTGAGCATTCCAGCCCCTCTCTGAAATGACACACTGGATTTTATATGCTGTTTTATGGCTTCTGATTTCCCATGAAAGACTAAGTCATTATGCCTAAAGAGTCACCTGTTACCCCTCATGTCTCCCGAATACCAATGATGTTTAAGGAGTGGGGCTGATATCTGGAATTTACCTTAGGCCTTGGGCCACTTTGCAAAGTTGGGGGGGGGAGGGGAAGCCTACCATCCTACCATTTCCTTACATGTCCTGGCTTTGTCTGCTACTGAGGTGCAAACTCCTTACATATTTCTAGTAGTCTGGGTCAAAAATATTTCTACAGAGTACACACTTTACTCAAGAGCAATAAATGTAGAGGGGCCAAACTATATATTTAAATAAGCTCAAGATCATTCAAACCTCAATGGGGCATCCTTACACAAAGAACTGGGAAGAATTCACAGCAACTGGAACTCTTCCATAGTTCTGGGAGGTGGACGATATGAACAGGAGTCCCAACACGGTACAGCCATTTTGGAAAATAGCTAGATGGGTTGCTACAAAGCTGAGCAGACACGTAGACCACAGCCAGCATTGCTGCTTGCATGTATTTATGCAGGACAACCACAGGGCCACACAAAGACCTTGATGCAGTTGCTGCAGCAGCTCTGTGTGTAACCGTCCTGACTGGAAACAATACAAGCATGCATCACATGTAAGTGGGCGAATCGGGAAAAGCCCTACAGCCGTGATCTACTTAGCAATAAAAAGGAATGAATTACTGAGAGAGAGAGATACAACAGTATGGAGGAATCTCAAAGGCATTCTGGCAGATGTAAAAAACCAGACACGGAGACTACATACGTCTGGTGACAAGTCTAATTGGTGGCTTGCAGAGCCTGGATGCAGGAGAAGGGAGTTGTGAAAGGGGACAGGGGAACTCCTGGGACTGCTGAACTGTTTTTATCTCTTGGTTGTGTGGATAGATGTGAGAGCAAATACATGTATCAAAGCTCAGCAAAGTGTGCACTGAAAGTCTGTGTCCCATGTGAGCGACTCCTCACTAGGGCTGAGTTGTAAAAGCTGTCAGCTGCCCAGTGATCACATTTCCTTTAACCTTGGGTTA